TGACCGATACATCTTGATTCTCGCAGATGGCCACCATTTGTCGTAACATTTGTAGGTTGTCGTTTGCTGTGTAGATATGATTGTTTTTAACTAGGGCGTATAATGTTGGGATATGGTGGTTGTATTTGGTAGGCGAGTATTTGAAAATCGGCTTTATGAATGAGTTAAATATCCTTACTTGAATGCCGTAGTGTTCAAACACTGGCACCATATCTTGTATTGATGCCCCGTTCGTTTTGAAATCCTCTTCTGTCTTATTCATCAGTTTTAACATACTTTGTTTTGTTAATCTGTTCTTTTCCCTTCGCTTCTCGCCCATTAGTGTATCCTTATACCAATCGGTTCTGGTGTTAAACCAGCACTCGTTTTCTTTGTAATGCTTTACATTTATTGCTTCCTTAAAGGTTTCAAACTCGGGGTCTAAAGGTGTTTGAATGTAGATGTTATACATACTTAAATTAGCGGTATTTGTGAGTTTCTCCTGTTCTGGCTTAAAGTCTGTATCACCATCTACCCGTTCAAGGCTTTTAATTTGAATACACTCCATATATTGCGCTGTATGATATAGGTCATCTTCTAAAACTGGGTCTGTGTTGAAGGTATCCATTAACTTTTTAAAGATGTTTTTCGTTTCTTTCTCGTATCTAAAAATTCGTTTCCCCACCAAGTCCTCTATGTATCTGGTGGATGTTACATTTGCGGTTTTAGGTTCTTTCCAAAAATAAATTAAAGGTCGGCCTTTGTGGTCTTTGAAGGCGGTTTTAATAGCATTGTCTTTTTCTAACTTTAACTTATAAAACATTACATCAATAGAGTAGATATTGGCACTATTTCGTCTTTTGTTTTCCTTCTTTGCTTCTCGCATTCTTTGCCCGAGTGGTTCTTTGTCGTGATGTTTGTCGTGGATTTTGTCGTATGCCGTGTTTGCTTTCGTTTTTTGTTTGTCGGTTTTTGCGGTTATAAACTGTCTGATTAAATTGTCCGCGGTGGTGAATTGCGCTATTTTACGGTCTTCATAAAAGTTAATTAGATTTTGTATTTTTTCTCTGGTGCCTTGTGTTAAACGATTCTTGTAGTTGTCGTAGGTTGTTTGTAGTGCTCTCGTGTTACGCTTAATATTTTTGCTCATATACAATATAATTACAATATAAATTAAATTTCTTTTTAAATAGTTTTTCTAAAGATTTTCGTTATATGTTTAGAAACTGATTTAAAGAAATAGTATAAATATATAGTATAGTAATATGACACATTTTAAAAGTCCCGAGGATATGACAATGGACGAGATTAAGCAACAACTGGCATTATATCAAAGGCTGTATTATAACAAGAGGAAAGAAGACGAGCAATTTATGATGAAGAAGCGCGAAGCAAGCTTAAGGCACAACCAAAAGAAGAAACTTAAGGAATACATAGCAGAGAATAGTTTAAGTGAAGAAGATTTGACGCCCACACAAATTAACGAAATCATTATGGATAAGAAACCTAGCGGGAAGAAGCGTGGAGCTCCCAAATACGACATGAATGAATACAAAGTCATTATGCCAAACAGCGGAATGTAGAAAATGATGATTTAATTCAAACATTAAATCATTGTTTTATTTGGTCTTAAAGGGAAGGGAACTTAAGGTAATAAAGGGTATGAACAAATACCAGAACGGGAAAATTTACAAAATTGTTGATGTTGGATACAATAAGTGCTACATAGGAAGCACGACCGAAAGCTTAAGTCGCAGAATGGCCAGACATCGCCAATGTTTTATAAAGTATTTGCGGGATGGACAAATAAAAATGACATCTACACTTTTATTGAAGGAACATGCCCCCGAAAATTGTAAAATTGAACTCATAGAGTTATACCCGTGTAATAGCAAAATCGAACTAGCGAGAAAAGAAGGAGAGTATATTAAAAACACCGAATGCGTAAATAAATACATTGCTGGTAGAACGGCACAAGAATACAGAAGGGATAATGCGGACATTATAAGCGAAAAGGCAAAACAAAGATACGAGCAAATGATGTCAGAAGGCGGGGTGAAAGCAGAACATCTTAAGCAGAAATACCTGACAAATAAAGAAAAAATCAACGAACAACAAAAGCAGTATTACGCTAATAACAAGGATAGTATCAATCAAAAGCACCGAACTTACTATGAACAAAACAAGGATAAAGTAATGGCAAACCAAGCCACCAAAGTATCGTGCGAGTGCGGTGCTACACATCGCAAAAACCATAAAGCCCAACACCAAAGAAGCAAAAAACACCAGCAACATATTCAGCGGTTACAGGAGCAAGAGGAAGAAAAATAAATATCATCCTTATTATAATGAGTAGTTCTAATAAAGATGATATAATAAGTAATATTTACTATGACCGCTCGGGCTTTGGTAGCGTCGCTACGACATATAAAGATGCTAAAGCAAAAGACAAAACAATTAGTTTAAACGATGTTAAGGAATGGTTTAAAAGGAATGTTGAGCAAAAGAAACAACTACGAGGGTATAATTCATTTGTCCCTAACGAACCTTACTGGGAATATCAACTAGATTTGTTTTTTATTAACGACATCCCTGACCAAAAGTTTAGGGTCGGTGTTGCCTTAATTGATATTTTTACAAAATATGCGACAATCATACCAATCAAAGGCAAGACAGAAGGTGATGTAGCAAGTGGCATGATACAAGGCTTTAAAGAAATGGGAAAGATGCCAAAATTACTTTATACGGATGATGAACCAAGTTTGAATACTGAAGCCATACAGACCTACCTTAAGGAATATAACATTTTTCATCATAGAACAAGAGGACATAGCAATTTTGTTGAAAGATTTATACGCTCGGCAAAAAAGATGTTGTATGATAGAATTGAAGCAGATGAGAAGAAACAAAAACAAAGCATCCAATGGACGGACTACATCTTCGAAATACTACTTACCTATAATAATAAAATGGTTCATAGCGCCCATAAATTCACGCCAAAAGATGCCAGAAAACCTAGCAACGAATTAAAAGTGAAATTCAATTTAACTATGAACGCAAAGCGGAATAGATTATACCCTGATGTAGATACAGGAGATAAGGTAAAGATATATCGTAAAAAAGGAGTAGGTGAAAAAGAACGAACTAGCACGTGGTCAGCGAATACTTATACAATTGAAAAAATTGAAAAGAAATTAAACCAAAACTACTACTATGTAAATGGACAAACGCGCCCATATTTGAGACACGAGATTTTAAAAGTTTGATAATTATATGTAGTTGTTTCTTTCTTTTTGAGCATATGCTGATACTCCCCGAGCATATGCGCCGAGCATATGTTGATGCTCCCCGAGCATATTCGCCGAGCATATGTTGATGCTCCCCGAGCATATTCGCCGAGCATATGCGCCGAGCGTATGTGGATACCCGCCGAGCATATGTGGATACCCGCCGAGCATATGTGGATACCCGCCGAGCATATGTGGATGCCCGCCGAGCATATGTGGATGCTTGCCGAGCATATGTTGATGCTTGCCGAGCATATGCGCAGAGCATATGTTGATGCTTGCCGGGCAGCTGTTGATGCTTACCTTATTCCTAAACCTTATTCTTATTATAGATATTTTACTAGAGACTACCATTTCCATCCGAGCATATGGTGATGCTTGCCGAGCATATGTTGATGCTTACCTTATCCCTAAACCTTATTCCTATTATTGTAAAATTATTTAAGAAGATAGAGAGCGTAAGCTCTCCATTAAGGCGTAGCCTTGACCATTTCCATTTTCTAAGGTTAGGGGTATTAGGGTTGGGAATATGGGTTTTTCTATGGAGGTGTTGGTGTATGGGGTTTAGAGTGGGTTTTTTCTATGAGGTTACATATGGTTCTTCTAATGGTTCCATCTTGTAGGCATTGGGTTGAGGTTGTTATGGTTTTGGGTCTTCGGGTGAGTTATTCCTAGGGTTCTACCTATGGGTCTTGGGTTGGGTTAGTGTTGAGGTATAGGTTGTTATGATTTGGGGGCTAGGGGGTGGGGCATGGTTAGAAAATGGAAATAGTATCTACTAACTGCCCCCGCCCTGTAATAGTGGTATAACAGGAATATAATGGGGCCCTAAAAAAATCCTTATAGTCACTATTACAGGGTTCGGGCAGCTTCTAACCTATAGTCCATGTTCTGGTTAGTAGTCTACAGTCCCTATTTTGGTTATAGTCCATGGTCCTCATTCTGATTAGTAGTCTATAGTCCCTCTTTTGGCTAGAGTATATACTTCCTATTGTGGTTAGGGCGTATACTGCTTTTTCTGGTTCTAGTATAATGCACACCAGAACTTGTTCTAACTGTCAAGGCCAATTTAATGGGGCTTCTGGGTTTGGAGCCTTTTGACGTTAAGGGGTTTGCTCCCTAAACCCTGAACCCTAAACCGCTAGGGCTTTAGGGTTTTCGGGCTTCTTGCTGCGCGGCTGGCGATGATGATGACGGTCGTGATTGTGAGGGTGATGATGCGGCTGATGATGATGAAAACGACGACGATGATGACAACCAAGATTCTGGAATCATGAAATATCGGGAAGAGGGGTTTATGAATCAGGGGTGTATAGTGTTCCGGATCTCGTTCTAGTTCTGGTCGCCCTAAACCCTAAACCCTACCCTAAACCCTAAATGAAGGGGTGTTGGAGTCACTTTAGAAGTCAGGTCTCCCACACCTCCATTGACCCCTGCCGCGAGAGTTCGGCTCAGAGAAAACGGCAGAAGGGTCTTGGAGCCTATCTTGGTTCTTGATAGCGGAGAAGGGTTTAGGGCCTAGGGTTTAGGTAGTTGTTGGGTCTGGAGGGTTTAAGGTTTCGGGCATGTATGAAGTAGCAAGGTCAACTCAAGCAGCCCCTGAGTCCAGAAGCCGCAACGCCAAGCAACACTAAGACCAAACCCTAAACTTGAATCCTGAAACCAAGCCAAAACAGTTGCTAAGTAAACTCTACTCGTACAGCCCTGAGACTAAGTAGGTTGTTTGGTTCTCCAATGTCGGGCGCGGGAGAGGAGGATTTGAGTGCAAGGCTCCAGGAGCCTGGCGATCAGCCATCTCGCGCAAGAGCACCTCGGACGTTGTCGTGGCACTGTTTTTCTCAGCATATTAAACCTTTGTGACCACTCGTAACCTGATGCAAATCTACCAATTCAGCTTTCATTCAACTTCGAAGGGGTCCTGAGCATCTAGAAGGACACATTGTACAAGCTGTTATGGGCATGTGGGGTCCCACGCAGTGTTTTTCAATGCTTAGCAGCCAATGCCGCGACCTTCGACTTAAGGTTTTCTCCACATATATACATACATCTCGCTTTTCTCGCTTTTGGGGCACATGCTCCGGTTCGGATGCAGCCCGTTGGCTTGCATTAATTAAGTGGGAGTGAAACAAAAATGACCGAGAAGGCCGCTGCTATTCGAGAGTATTCGGTGCTCTCCTGTGCAAAAGGCTCGGATCCCTGATAGTGTAGAAACTGACTGGATGCAAAGATCCGTCGCGGGCGACACGACCAGGATAGCCGGCACACGTAGGAGAATCAGCCTCAAGAAGAAGCGAAGGAGGTCAGCGCCGAGGATGGCTTTTCCGAGTTCCGCCTGACCAGACGAGAGGCCAGAATCCAGACACGGCAAAGTCTGGAGGAGTGGAAGCCCCGTGAGGTCAATAGCAAAAGCGACATCATCAAAAGGGCCATCAAAGAACGCTGGTTGATCCCCCCTGGCGAAAGCCGTAAGGCATTCTTCATGAGTGAACTCAAGAAAGCAGCGGTCGCAGAGCGACAGTGGTGACACCCTCGACCCAGAATGAACCCGGAGAAAGACGAGGTCCGGAGTGAGAGGGCCAGGAGATCCCGGTTGGATCGGGGAGGTGTCAAGGAGACCAATAATGTGGACAGAATCTCTGTAGGTTCGGTACATGGACTGGCGGACAGTAGGTGTGGGCACAAGCCAAGCAACAATGTCGGTCGTACTGATCCACTCCGCACAGTCAACGAGTCGGGTACTGCCATCCGTGGCGTGTAGAAACTCGGCCCAAGACAAGGCCGTCGCCCTAAGGCGATCAGTCGATGCGCAGACACAAGAGAACGACAGGCGCAAGCGTTCCCACAACTCTTCATCCGAAAGGTCCGTTACGGGGCCGTCGAATTCGACAAGCCGCAAACAGTCCCACACCTCGGCGACAGGGCAGACCTCCTGGTGGACAGCAGGAAGCTGTGGAAACAACCGGAGTGGTCCACTCCCAGGCAAAGCTGGGCATAAACCAACGGCCTTGTCGTCATCCTTGCGGTGTCCAACGCCGGGTTCAACACTGCATGAGTAGCCCATGGATAGTAGCTTTGCACGACAAGGGAGGGAATACCGAAGGTGCCTGCAGAGTCTGACATTACTGGGGTGTACGGAGGCATGCTTGGCACTGTAGGCCCGGGAGAATACCTCTCCCGGCCATACGCCGTCCATGACACTTGAAGGCATGCACCGACCACTTCTGTCGAGTGGAGAAGGTGGTGCGGCAAAGCGCGCAGCAGTGCACCTGATCCTGTTGGTCCAGCGTCGAGCCGTAAGAGATGGCTCCGTTTCGTTGAAGCTGGTGGACAAGAAGGGCGCAGTGTCTGTGGTAGGCAGCCTGCCATGCTTCGATGTGGACAGCTCTGGCCTGGGCTCGTTTGAGCAAGCTCTTCCACTTGCCGGGGGCCGTATGTAGCAGTAGAAGCCACTCCGGCCAGATGTCCTCCCAGGATCTCGTATCCTTAGAGGATCGGACAATGCCCCAGAGCCATGCAAGGGACAAGCGAACAGTGGCGAGCCAATCATTTTCCCAGTGGGCAAGGGCCCAGAGCTGGCCCAGCTGCAAACGGACAAATAGCAGCAGATGTCGGAGGCGGTGGATGTGCAGAAGGACCGCAACAGAGGGAAGGCCCAGATAAGCAAGGACCTGATCTCTACCGGAATGAAGGGCTTGGTCAAAGTCCCAGTGTGGCCGACACATATGACAGGCCATCCTCTCATACGCAGAACTCAGGGAGAGCGCAGCCTCACTGAGTCCAGGCCAGGTACCGGCCCCATGCAGGAGCACCGAGAGGATAAGTGAGTTGTACAGGGTGGCCTTTGCCTCCTTGGGGACAGTTGGGGACCCAAAGATATGGCGCTTTCTCTTCTGGAACGCTTCATGAGCAAGTGCGACCCTGGACCGGACTTCTCTTGAGAGGTCTCGTGAAGTGGATTGTACCTCCTAGATGTCGGTAGGAGTTGACCACTCGCACTCTGGCCCCAGGCCACAGTCTTGAGGGGATCTCGATGGAGGGATCCTTATCCCGAAAAAGGCCTGCACGGACGCCTTTCGAGCCAGTCCCTGAGGGCACGATAATGAGCTCTGTTTTGCCCCGGGCCAGGTTGGGTAGGAGTGCTCTAGATAAACAAGCGTCAACCAGCAATCCCGTTACATGCCCAGCTTTGGTAACTATTGACTCTGCTGAGTCGGACAGCATCATGAGTGCGAGATCATCCATCCAAGTAGCATCGAAGATATCAATCGATTGCGGAGGCACAGCTCCCGAATTGAAGATGTCATCGCGCATGGAATCGTGATACGGCAATTGGGTCGTGCATCCCCTGGCCGCCATATCCTTGGATAATTCTTGTAGCACTCTGGAGAAAAGGAAAGAGAAGATGACATCGGCACAGTTGTCGCCTGGACGGCTGCCGATGCCGGTTTGCACAAGGGAGGGGCCTGCTTTGAAGCGGAACCATGTAGCCTCCAGCACCTCATTCATGGCGCCGGACAGCCATGAGCTGGCCCCACTACCCTCAAATACAGAATTCCCTGTTAAGTGCAAATGGAGTTCATGCAACACTCCATGTGGCAACCGGATGGTAGCTGCAACTTTTGCAATGGCCTCATCACTCAGCTGTGCACCGGTAAGCAAGGGTCTGCAAACTCGATAAAAAGCTTCCTGAAGATCCAAAAACAGGACAGCAAACGATTGCTTACGGGCTCGAGCCGCAGCGACAAAGAGACGAACCGAATGGGAGACAGCTGTCACTGGGCAAGAAGGGAGTCCTCCTAGCTGCAAAGGAGAGGTGACCGATGCCAGCGGTCCAACACATCGAGATCGGAGCAGACGGTGGAAGGCCTTTCCTGTGACTGCTGAGATGAGGATGCCTCTGTGGGAGGCACAGACTGCTGGCGAGCCTTTGCCTTTCCAGGCAGCCTCTAGGCTGCCCCCTTTGAACTGAACCGGTTCGGCCAACCGTAGGCTGGTTTTGAGCAGCAGCGGATACAAAGCCTCAGACGCCGCCGCAACTGCACAGTGGAGGGCCTCCCCGGGGACTCCATCGAGGCCTGATGCTCGGCCTGTCGAGGTCGCTCGGAGCGCAGCTTCAAGCTCGATCCGGCTCGGGATGTCATCCCTGGTGAAGGCTGTAAGGACTAGGGGGAGTCCTTTGTGTGTCCTAGCCTTACGTTTAGGAGGACCCAGAAGGGGCTTGAGGCGCCGAACGGCTTCAGCAGTGGCACAATGTTCAGCTTCTGCCGCAACTGTGACAATGCGGTGTTGGATGTCTTGGCGAACCGCCTGCCGGAGAACCTTGCGAGTCTGGCGCAATTCTGTCGCAAAACCTGAGAGTCTGCTTTGTAGGTGCATGACAAGGAGACTGCCTGAGAGTTTGGTAACAGCGAGCCGGCATTTGCGTCGCCATGCGACAAACGAGTCGCGAAGGGCTGGCGGCACAAGCAGGTCGCGGCATTTTAAAATCTGGCGCCTCAGCCAGACTCTTCTCTGTCTCAGGTGCCACGTATGCTCCCTGAAATGAGAGGATCTACATTGGCCTCTCTGGTTGGGAAAGGCCTTGGTCAGTTCGCCTCGTAGGTAACCTTCCAAGGCGGCCCAGTGTCTGTGGACATTGGTGGACCATGGCACCGGAGGTGCCTGTTTCCAGATCTCAGAGAGCACCATTTGCCCTTCAGGAGTGCACATGGCCTCTCTGTCAAGCCGGACTCTGTGGGGGCCACTCGTTGAGGCTCTGACCAAGGCAGACACTTCGACCTGGGCCGCGTAATGGTCAGTATGGCCTTGTCCCCAGTCCAAGTCTGTCTGGACACAGGATGACTGTGGGCCGGCTATCCACGTACATGGAATCCCAACAAAGTCAATTCTAGAACCCGAGGAACCAGAGGGAGAGACCCAAGTGAGAGAAGATCCCTGGTGTATATCAGGGAACGTGGCCAGTAGCCAAATGTCTTGAGTGTGAAGAATCTTCTGGAGACCCGTTGGAACCGAACCCGAACCCGGGAAAACAAGAGATCCTACACGTCCTGGTATGGGGACTGCAAAGTGGGTGTTGTAATCCCCTAGAAGAACAACCTCGTGCGCCTCGCTAAATCTGTGGAGGCGTTCGTGGAGCATTGCCCACCATGACTCTCTCTGCGGGTCGCATGTGGTAGGACCGTGGACGCAGACAAATAGGATCTTGATGCTGCCCCTGGCAAATCGCACTACCAGTGTTCGTGGGTCAGCGAAAGCAACGAGAAAATCTCCCGGCCGGAAGTAAGTCTTGGAACCCCTATCGCCCAGGAAAGGGAGAAGTCGACTAAACCAAATCTCGACCCCCAAGCAACCGGCTGGGTCTTTGCCGGAACAAAAACGGATGTGGGAGTGCGAGGTGATCGTGTCGCTGGCTAACGCCCGCGTCTCTTGGAGCGCTGCCACATGGATGTTCAAGGAGTCGAGCTGTTCTCTGAGGAAACCTGCTCGACCTTTAAAGTCTCGACTATCGCCTGCGGGGACGGAGGGGTCATTGAGTGTCTGCACATTGACCGTGAGGAGCCTAAGCACAAGCAGCCTGGTAAGGTCTGGCTTATGTCTAAGATTCGACTCGTACCCGAACCAAGCTTTGGCCTCTAAGTCGGATGGAGGACTGTTGTCAGAGAACCGGTGATGGTCCGAGAGGTGGGGGCCGCAGAGCTGTGGCCATGCCTGTGGGGCAACCGCCCCTGTGTGGATCAGCCACCACCATTGAACGGAACCGTCACGTATCGCTTGAGCTAGTTCCTTCGGACCGCAAACTTAGCAAGCGAGTCCGCGAGTTCATTGCCCGGCTGTCCCTGGTGGGAGTGGACATGATCAACGGCACCCTTGAAGGCAGGTTGTACAGAGCAAAGCAGTTGGAGGAGCTGAGGCCTTCATAAGCGGATCCCCAGATTGACTGCCCCATTGGCCATTGGCCTGCTGAAGAGCAGAGAGGCAGTCAGAGTGGTAAGCCAAAGAGGGAAAGGTGCAGGCTTGGATCCCCCAGTAGAGCGCCCAGACCAGTGCGGAGTACTCTCCTGCCAGGGCATGGTGAGTGCTTGCTCCGATATAGTCCGGAAGCTGGGACGAAGTTTGGACAACTCCAGCTTGCCATCCAAGGAAATAGCATGTGGCCTCTGACCATCCAAACGCGACAAAAGCCCAGGAACTGAGGTTCCCGTCAAATGACGCATCCGTGTAAATGTCAACATGACTGAGACTGTTAGAGACTTCTGACCAAGTTCCCTTATCGACAAACGAGCAGTGGCTGAGGAAGGCCCTCGCTGCCGGGTGCAGGTCGCCAAGTTCCGGCAGCCGATGTTGGAGTGGCCAGGAGTCACACGCAATACCACGCATAACCTGATCAAGGCTGACACCCATGTCCACAGAGACTGCGGCAAGATCAAATGTCTGGCATCGTGGAAGGTGGTCGCGGATCCGGATGGGCTCGGGAGTCCCGGGATCGAGGCTGGATGGTTCTGCAAGATTCACAGCACCGAGGGTGTGGCCATCAGGGCCCCTAGGCACAGTAGTGTGGGGTCTGGGCCCAAGCACAGCTGTGTCTTTCGCTGTGAAAGGGCTATCAGGAACCTGATGCTCAAGCAGAGTTTCTAAAAGAGTCCAGGCATGGAACAGTGGACGATCCTCACTTTCAACTCTACTGCATTCAAGTAGTGTGCACAAGGCGTCACCCCGATCAACGGAGAGCTCTCTTAATTGGCTGCGAAGATCATCATCCTCGCTGGTCGGGCTGGTATGCCCTGTGCCTCCCAAGGGGACATTACGGCATGGCGTGGGCACTGGACGTGCGACAGTGCTCCCAGAGATGCCTTGTGAGTTGGGAGGTCGGATGGCAATGACCTTAGCTGTATCCCCAAGCTGGACCGCAATCGCACCATGCGATTGAAGAAAGACATGGAGCAGCCCAACTGCACAAAGAGTAGGAAAGCGGCTCAGAGCCCTAAGACTGAGGGCGGGAAAGGCTATACATACATACTTACATATTTACATATATATATATATATATATATATATATATGAATATACATGTAACATAATTGCACACCATTTATGTATACGTTCACACACCTACGAATAGACGCATACATACATACATGCATACGTACCTACATACACATAAGTACCTAAGTCCATCCATCCATCCATCGATCCATCCATCCATCCATCCATCCATCCATCCATCCATGCTTACGTACATATATGCATACATGTGTATTGTGTGCATACGTGTACACAGAAACGTGTATGTATGTGTGTGTATATATATATATATATATACGTGTGCATACATACACATGTATGTGTGTATACATATATATATATATGTGTATGTGCACACGCATACATATGCGTAGAGAGAGAAGCGAGAGAGATAATGCTAGGAGAACTAGGTAAGCCCGTGTTGTGTTGAGCTTGCTGGCTGGGGGACACATGCACTTTCGGGGCTTTGAAGTCAGACCCCCGAAAGGTCCATGTGCCTGTTCTGTATGCTGTTTGCCATTCGAAGGCTTCGTACAGAGGCACGCTTCCTGTTTCGTACATTGTACATACCATACAGGACCCGTGGCGGAGTGGTTTCGCTGATTTCTTTTAACTTACTAGTTGCCTGCGGCTTTCCTAGCATGGCTCACCGTGCGGATGAGCTTCGGTTCAAGCTCTAGTCGCTCAGCAGGGTAACCTTTACTGTTTCGGGTATATATATATATATAATTATACAAATATATATATATATAAATATATATATATATATATGTATATACGAGCCTTTTTTTGTGTGTCTCTGTGTATTTGTTATGTGTGTATGTGTGTGCATGCGTATACGTGCCTTTGCATGTGCGCATGCGTGTGTATGTATATATGTATATATGTATATATGTATATATGTATATATGTCCATATGTACATATGTATATATGTATATGTGTATATATATATGCGATATGTATGTATATGTGTATGTATGTATGTCAAACTGTATGTCTATATGTGTATATATATATATATATACATATGTAGTGAGACACTTTGCGGAAGTTGATTGGGCAGGTAAGACCCCTGGTTCTTCCACCCCTCCCCCCCAGTCTGGCATTGGCATGAGCCAAGGTTCGATGCAGCTGCCGCGGAAAGCAGCTTTGTCTGGCCATTGGAGGAAGCGTTGCCGTTCTGGGGGCCTTCTTGGCCATCTTTCTGTCCCTGTCGTCTTCGAAGACTCCTCTTCCCGACTGTCCACCGCCAGAAACTGGCAGGCTCAGCATCGAACTGCAACCTGCAGAGCCAGGAGAAGGCCCTGGGAGTTTCCGAAAATTGGGGACCCTGATATACCGTACCCTAAATAGTAGGATCCCTATTTCAAGGACCCCAAATTAGGTACCCTGAATTTTCCGAAACTCCCATTGTTTCAGATGGGACAGATCAGCGCTGCTCAGACAAGCAGCCAAGCCTTTTCAGCAAGATTCTTCTGGACGTCACGCGCCTCTGCAACTCCTCGCACCCGGCAGATGACCAGGATTGCAGCATTGTGTATCACACTGCATACATGTGCCTTGGCGCTGTGGTTTGGGGTTCTAGGTTTAGGTAATGCAGCAGTAGTGGTAGTAGTAGTAGTAGTAGTAGTAGTAGTCGGAGTAGTAGTAGTAATGTTAGTAGTAGTAGTGGTAGTAGTGGTAGTAGTGGTAGTAGTAGTAGTAGTAGCAGTAGTAGCAGTAGTAGCAACAAGATGTTGTCGCTGTGTTGCCCCCGGCTTTTCTTCTCCAGTGCTGAGGCACTGGAGACCACAAGGTTGTTCAGAGCCTTAGCCCAATAGACTTAAGTCTTAGCCGTTTCAACCCCAAAGCCCTGGATCTAAAACGCCAAAACAATCAAATCCCCGAGGGCCCCGCGACAGTGAAGCAGCCTAAACCCTTCAGGTACTTGGATGCAGGACATGAAATCGATGTGACACTGAACTTCAGCGACCAGCAGCCAGGGACGGGACGTTGGGACTTTTTTCAAGTGGCGGCCATCCTCCATCAGAATGGCTGCAATGCAGAATTACAACTGAGCAAGTACGAGACTGCGGACTGCTTAGAGGGCAACGCGTCTCATCCCAATTTCGAGGTCGGGGGTTCTTTTGACAGAAGTGTAGGATCGAAACATAAGGCTAGCTATTACATGTCATGTGTCCTGTAATTAATAAGTACATGTTCGAGGGCAAACACCTTCAAACCTACCCCACCCCTCCTCCCCCCAAAAATACATACATACATACATATATATATATATATATATATTACATATGTATATATATATATACACACCAGTAAATCAACTTTGTGCAGCAGCCCCCAGGTCAGCGTGGACCCCTTGGGTCGCATACCGGCGCACGCCAGAACGCAGCTGACCTGCATCAGCCGGCAGAGGGCCGCCGATGCACCGAATGGGCGGTCTGTGCGCATTGCGGACTCCTATAAGAGTGTACAGCCTGGTTGCAGGATAGGAAGCCGCAAGAGATTTTACAAGGCTTTCCGAGACATCTGAGCCACACGGGCCCAGACCCTCAACTCTACTACTGCATATAGGTCTCATAAGTCATAGCATCCCCTTGTAGATTTTAGAATATGTATGTGCCCCAAGCTTAAATCCCGAGTCTTGAAGGTAATGATTGAGGCTGACAGTGAAGTGCCGACGACTGGAGAGTGCGAAAGAAGTTGACGGGGTAATGGAAGGGCCTCAGTACTCAAGACCATTCTATCGATCTGTCCAAGACTCCTTCCTTCACCTTATGAAGCCCTGGCTGAGCATTAGGGAAGAAGCCCGAAACTAAACTCTAAGCCGTAAGCTTAAGCTATAAGTTAACATCCTGAAGCCTGCAACACCGACCCAAACCCTCAACCGTAAACTCTCATACCCACAAGCCTTACAAATGCTTGAAGTCGCTCACCCCAGCCCGATAGCCCTAAACCCTAGAACTTTCGAAAGTCTCGGACAGGCCATCTTCGTCCGAAGGGAGCTTTCTCTTGGTCTCCTGCTCGCCACGGACCCAGAGTGTACGGAAGGGGTACTTGGAGGGTCGGGGGACTTAGCAACTGGTTATTTCTAGGGACTTTTAAGTACCATAACCCCAATTAGGGTCCCTTTAGGGTACTTATAAGTCTACTTACTAACTACTTACTAAGTCCCCCGACCCCCCAAGTAAAGGGCCATAGACTTCGAGGTGGGTTCAGGGCTTTGGGTGCCTGCGGTTTCGGAGTTTGGGGCTTCGGCTTTCGGGGTCTAGGGCCTGAAATTTAGGGTTTTGGCTTTCAGGGTTTAAGGTAAAAGCCAGAAAGTTGGAATATGATTATCCTAACCCTTCTATGGTAAATTATAGGGTATCCTACCATGAAACCATATTCCAACTTTCTGGAGTTCCCTGTAGGATCTTAGGTTTTAGGGCTTGGGGGTTTTGGGCTTTCATTTTTTCGGCAGGGCCAGGGCTTTGGTCCAGGGGCTTTCCGATGCGTCTCGAGTCGAGTGTTTCCGGTGTCTCAAATGATGCTCCTTAAGGACGAAATGAACCCTAAAAGGGTTTAAGGTTCATATACCATATAGGGATTCATAGTATATGGGTATAGGGCCCCTACTTTTAAGGGTCATTTGGTCCTTCAGGCTAGGTATGCCACTCCTAAACCACTAAACCCCCCATTCTCCAACCCCCAAAGCCCAACCCCGATTGCTGCTCTTGCTAGAGAAACGTGGATGGAGTCTCTTGGCAGCCTTAAGCCTTAAGCTTGATCCAGCCACCCTGAACCACAAGACATTCCAAGCCCCTTCAATGCAAAGCCTTGTGAACACCCGAAACCTTTGTAAAACCTGACTAAACACCCTCAAAACACCTACACAAACCCGTAAACCGCAGGTCCATGTTCTCCTGCTTCTTTGGTTTGCGCAGGCCATGCATGCTTTTTTGGCTCTCCAGCCGTTCAGTGGGAGAGCTCCAGCTACCTGACCTAGCAAATAGGACATAAATCGATTTGCAAGTACCCGGAAGAAGATCCTAATTAGGGTGATGGTGCTTATACCTTGACTAAATACATGCTTACTAAGTCCCCCGACCCTCCGAGTAGGGCTCGGGGTTTAGGTTTAGGGTCCCAAACTACTATTTGCTTAAGAACCCCCCCCAAAAAAAATATATAATCCCTATATAATCCATATAAGGAATATATTTTTTATTTTTTGGGGGGTTCTTAAGCAAATAGTAGCAAAGCTTCAGCCCGAGATCTCCCCTTGGGATCTCTCTCATGGAATCCCGTCCCAAAGGGTCCCAGGTACTCTAGGATGCCCAGTAGTACCCTTATTCCCTTTTTGGTAGTCCGAGGTTCCTTGTAAAGTTACCCAATACCAAAAAGAGAGGCCTTTTTATTCTTAGGTTACTGGGTATCCTAGTACTGTTATGGGGACAACTTCCCCAAATCATAACAGTAATCAGTAGTTCCGAATATGGAGATCCTACGTTCTACTATATTGGTACTTTGGACCCTTTGGGTGTTTGTAGGTGCCCTTAACATTATTGGGATAAACCCCTATATTAACTCCCAAAGCTCCCAAAGGTTAACCTTTAGTTTTTTAGGATACTGGACAAGTAGGTAATAGAGAAGCCTGAAGACTGCCAGCAATGTTCCTCAGGGTTTCTGGTTTATAACTCTATCTTCGCATCCCCCCCAAAAGCTGGTCGATTTGTTTTTTTCGCAGGGCTCCATAATATCAGGTCCCTGATTGGCGACGGCCTTGAAATTCAGGATCGCGAGAGTACTCCTTGTTGGAGCGGAGTGCTATTGATCGGGTCTACGTTAGCCCTTCAACACCCCGAGTCTCAAACACAAATGCAAGAACTTCTGAAACCCTCACCCTGAATATTCACACTCCTAGGCTTTTTCAGATCTCTTATGGTACCCAGAAAGGAAACTCTAATGGGCTGGCTGACAAAATTATGGTCCCTTTTTGGGTCCTTAATGGAATACGGCACCTAATATTCAGGGCACCCAGAAAGGGACCAGAATTCTGACAACTGCCCAATGGTACCCTTAAAGGAACCCGGGGAAGGAGCTCCGAAGCCCCTTGGCTTCAAAAACAGCCATCCCAAGGGACCATCCTTTAAGGAGTCCTTTAAAGAGGCTTATAAGGGATCTACAGTAGGGTTCTATATTATAGGGGCCTCAATAATTACATATAGATTTTCTGGGGCCCCCAACCCTATTCCAACTAATCAGGCCTCTATATTAGTTTAGCAGCATGAAGCTCAAAACTAAGCACCGGACATCACGTACCTGCGGATCCAATAACCTAGTGAGCCTACAGTGTTGGGGTCATACCCCTTTGTTTTGGGGGGTTTCGGGCTGCAGATCAACCCTAAACCGAAATCCCAAGCACCATGAAATCACGCCTGAACAGCGAAACGCCCACCTGATAGGTCCAGTGGATTGACGGCGGGTTCTTGAGCAGGACGCATTCGGGGGCTGAAGGTCTCGGGAGGAGGGTGAAGGGGGTTTAGGCTTCGAGGTGTGTGAGTGTTGGGCGCGGAATCCGTAGGCCTGGTCTGTCTTTCTGGAACTGGATTTTCCAGGTCCGATGCGGCAGGTTTGCTGCATGGTGCTGTTGTTCCAAGCCAAGCCCAAGCTCAGCTAGCTCAAAACCCAACACCCCTGGATCCCAGCACGTAGAGTTACCCATGATCTAGTACTACTGTTGATGATACAAATCCTGCATTACCTTAATGGCCTTAGACTATGGGAATTATGGTATATTCCTTATTATGGGTAATGCAGGATTTCTATCATCAACCGTATAACCTTCTCAGTATAACAATGCAGCTTCATCTTATAATATAGTACTCCCGAAACCCGACTATTCTAAGCGCGGTGGCCCATGTAGTGCATGTCTCAATACCTCACGAACATCCGGCGGCTCCGAACAGCAACGAGGCAGTGGAAGTGCAGAGACTTTTCCGATTCAGAACAGGTGCATATTTGCGGTTTCCGTAGTGGAACAAATACTCAGGCTTCTATATAACACAGCATCAGCATCAAAGGCAGTAAAATGGAGGCTGTCTAGACCCACAACGCTCAAACCTTAAACACTTGCGCTTAGCAGGACCATTCGAAAATGGCGCACCTCAGTGCCCTTGAGCGACCAAAGTGTCGTGACCATGTGGTTCACCTGTGCCCCGGCTGCTTTTCAAGTTCAGGGTTACGTATTCCAGGGGTGTCTGCAAGATATCTATGTAGTATAGTATAATTTATATTGCATAGTATACAGTTTGTAATATATAATATGTATTACATGATGTGAGGGTTCTATAAGCCTCAGCAGTTACTGTTGTGTAGGGTTTTAACCTTCAAACTTGTCAGTCTGAAGCGCTTTCTGTATAGGCTTTCCGTATGGGTTACCTGGAGGTTTCAAGCAGTTTTTGGGACTTGGGTTCTGGGCTCGGAGTTTAGGGTTGTACAGGCTTTCCAGCTCTAATCAAGATTTACTTCGGAGGCCGTTTGACCATGAAGCGACTTAAGGCCACGAGAGCAAATTTCAGCTGACCCGATGCTAAGGCAACTTCGTTGGCATCGCCTGCCTGCGCACGATGCATTTTCAGTATTTGGTTTGGACGCTTGCCTGGTTTGAGCATGGTCTCACAGCTGGGGTAACATACACTGTTGATTCACGGCCACCCTTTCCTTAAGGGCCTTCGTATCAGAGTTTGATGTTGGCTTCCGAGTTTTTGGATGTTCACCTCACTCTACCCCGGAAGTCTTTGACCCCTGCGCCGCCTTGTCTCCCAAACCCTGAAGCCCTAGACCGTTAACGGTTTAGGGTTTGGGGTTTAGGTTTTAGTGGGATTCCTTACAGTAGCATATGACACGATGCAGTACAGGCGACGGTCCCAAATGGAAGAAGGTAAGTTACTGTATGTAGAGTGCAGGTAGCTCACGGCACACCTACACTCTACAATGTTGCACCTTTCTTGGTTCATCTCATTATCTTCTTCACGGATCCTAACCATAAAATACTCAATGTGTTTTTCTAGGACTAAGCCACAACATACCCCCCTATTTTATTCTAACACTAAGCCCTTATTCCCTGTTTTAGGGTTCAGGTTCCCTTATAACTTATAACCCCCTTTAAACCAAAAAGGGCACGCTTGTTATTCCTAGGTTACTCTCTTAGGTCTGGAATACTATGATCCTAACCGCAAGATAGGCTCTCTCAAAGAAAGGGCAGTGCAGTGTGTAGAAATTCTAGGTCTGGTGTCGGATCCGAGGTTCGGGTTTAGGGTTGGTTTAGGGTTTAGGGGTCAGATCCGAGGTACTTCCATACGATCCCTTTTCTGGCCTATGCCTCCTTCGGTAGTGGCCGGCTGCATCAAGCCGCTGCAGTCACGCTGATTACGTTGTTGGCACTCTGGCAGCGTCTACAGCCATTCTTAGCTGTTGGGTTGAGTTTATAGGGCTTGAGGATGCAAGGGCTTAGGGGTTGGGTTTGTGTAGGGTGACAGCTTAAGTATTTTTGGGGACCTCCAAACGACCTAAGCATGCAGCAAAAGCATGTTATAGGGATATCCTACTTTGTTGGGCTTCGTTGTAAGGCTATTTTTTTGTTATATGGGGTCTCCCTGTCCAACTATTTCTTTTGTTGATTTGCTTTGAGTTTTTGTTTGCTGAACTTGAATTCGATCTGGGCTCATAGCAAAGGCCGCTGGGGGGAGGCGGTTGAGAATTTCTGGGTTTGGGGGTTTAAGGCCAGGTTGCAGTCAGTGTTGGGGTGGCAAACCCAGAAGCCAAAACGACAGCAATGCCCAACGCGTCCGAGTTTTCCAAATAGCACTGGTAATTACTCAGGCTTCCCTAATATACTTTCAATGTCAAACCCCTCCCCCCTCTCCCTAAAACAAAGACACTCTAGTCTGATAGTGGCATTTGCACCATGTCAATCGAGGTAGGATCAACAAGAAAAGGTGTTAATGCGAAACGGGCCTCAGTAGTTGAGTAAACTTTCCTCCCCATCTGATCCCGCAGATTAACGTGCAGTTTTCCGAGGATGCTGGCCGACATCATAGAAGCCCGAATTAGTCTCCCCCAAAACCCTCTTCGAATTATGAAGGCCCCCGCACTGAACCCTATAAAGCCTAAAGCCTTTTTAGTAGCCTCCTCAAGGAGCCTTTTAAAGGAACCCTACAGCTCTAGTCATGAAGAAGTGGGGGCGTCGGCCTTCCCCGTGCAAAGGTTGAAATTCCGTTTCTCTTGACGGAGCACGGGGAGGCTCGCGGCGTCACAAATCCCAGAGTATCTTAAATGCAAAGGGTTTACCAGCATTCCCCGAAGCACCCCTTAAATGAAAGCCTCATGGTCCATAATAGCGTTTACTGGCTCTAGTTAATCAGGGGTAGTTGGGTGTGTGCTGATAGAGTTCTGGGTTTAGGGTTGGGGATTCTGAAGCCAACGGTTTGAGGATTCAGGGTTTGTGGCTTTCTCCCCAATACTCCAGGCTCCGATGCTTTCATCTGCTTCTCGTTTTGAGTTGGTGCAAGGCCTGTCATGGGAACTCTGAAGATTCTGCTTCTTCGGAAGACAAGTCTCAGGGGTACACTCATTGCTGGTCCTTTCTGCCATGCCAGTTCACGTTCACTAAGTCACTGCTTCTGTACCTATAGGACTCTCGCTGGTAGTATTTCAGAGGTTTCTGGTTGTATTCTCAGACTAGCCCTGTGTTTCGCTAGCAAGTCGCAAGCCCTGAGAACCGAAGGGTTCGTCTACACATTTCTGCGATACAAGATAATATTTGCATGTGTGTTTACTACCAGATGTGCTTCGAGGGTAGAGTGTTATCATCAGTGTTAGCGCCTTTGTGAAAATTAGGGTCCCTTTTGGGGTACCCTAATTAATAGGTGCCGCATTTTAATTAATTGGGACCCAAAAAAGGGACCCTAATTTTGGCAACCACCCGTTAGCATACAGACTACAATATATATATATATATATATATATATATATATATATATATATATATATATATATACATACCCCGAAAACACCACGAAGCATTGAACCCGCAAGTTCTTTGCATCGCAGGTGCGGGGACCAGATGGCAGGCGGTGGACCACCGCCGGCCACCCGAACTGATTCGGTTCATGGTATAAACCCTGCATTACCTTAAGGACCCTGAAGTATGGGAATTATGGCATGTTCCTTATTATGGGTAATGCAGGATTTATATCATCAACAGTTAGACATGGATTTGCATTGGGCTCCTTATGAACCACTGGTGAGCTGGTATGCGTTTAGGAGTATTTCTCAATTCGGCCGCATGCCGTGCTCTTCGCACGGCTGAACAGGCCCGTCAGCTTCGAATGTGCGAGTGTTTTGTGTGAAGGGTCCTCACCTGAAGGACCAAATGACCCTGAAAAGTAGGGGCCCTATACCCATATACTATGATTCCCTATATGGTATATGAACCTTAAACCCTTTTAGGGTTCATTTCGTCCTGAAGGTATTGGCTTACAGACTGGAGATGTTTGAGATTTGGGGCTCCGGGTGCTCCGGCTTTGGGCAGGACAGTTGCATTCCAGAGTAGTTGCTTCAGGAATGTACACTTCAAGCTACAGCTGTTGGGTTTAGGGTTTAGGGTTTAGGGTTTAGGGGACTTCAAGCTACAGCGGGATTCTTCATATGATTTCCGGTATACTGCTTGCTTGGTCGACTAAAACGTGATACAGAAGCCTAGATAATTGCCATGCCGCAGGGTTCTGTATTATAACAGGCGCCCCAAGCTCCCCAAAGCCTTCTCATTCGTCTAAGGCCCCTACATTACAGGACCCTCTGGAAGCAGCCCTTCCTGCCGCTTCCCTGCTCACGGGCGCTTGGCAAAATCTAGGGGCCTTAATAGTTACCTATGCCACTGGAGTATATGGGCCCCAAAACCCTATTCTGATTATTAAGGGCACTATATTATGGTGAACAACCTCTTGGCGGTGAGGATCTTCTCTTCAGCAATACCGAAACGTGCATCAATCAACCCTGAAATCCCTGTTTCCTAAACCTTATAAGCCTTAATCTCTAAGTCCGAAACACTCGATCCGATCTGGGTACTTGGATGTTTTAGCGGAAGGTTTGCCCACCCGCCTCGGCAGCGTCCTTCTCCAGGTCCGATTTTTTCCGGGTTCTTGGTATACCCTAAGGATCCAAGTGCCTAAACCCCCAAAAGTAGTTTAATAAGGGCCCAAATCCCTATAAGGGCTATTATTCTACATACTTTTGGGGTCCAGGTAGTCCTTATTTATGGTTTTTGGTACCTCAAATGGCCCTGAAGTCCTATAATAGGGAGTACTTGGACCCTCTGGGATAATGAACCTGAAATATTGCGTGAACATAACAAGGAAGCCATGTCAGGAGGAGCTTAAGCTATTATGCTAAGATAACAAGGAAGTCATACTAGGGTTTAGCATGTAGGGTCTAGGATAGAGTCGAAGGCATTTTGGATTTTCGGCTTCTGGGTGCTATCCAGCTGACGTTGCCCCCACATGTCTTTTCCAACCACTTCTCGTACAGTGTTTGACCCCAACATCGCCCCGAAGTGGTAGGATCCTTAGTACCCCAAGGATCCAAAGTAGCTATATAGTAGAATGTGGGGTTTCTATACTAGGTTATGATTTCGGGAGGTTGTCCCCATCTCAAGGAGAAACATAGCCCCGAAGAGGCCGGATCCTTCTCTTGGAAAGGTACACTCGGTTGCAAGAAGGCCACGAATCACGTGGGTGGTTGTCAACATTATGGTCCCTTTTTGGGTCCTTAGAGTCCTTAATATAGTACGGCACCTAATATTTAAGGTACCCAAAAAGGGATCATAATTTTGACAACCACCCACGTGTTAAGAAAGCAACTGCTTTGCAACCTCGGAACCTCACGAACCTCCCGGCAGACTTGAAAACTTGGGGTGTGGGTCTTGTTTTGGGTTGGGCGATCCCTACAGACCCCCCGGGAGGATCCAAAAAGTAGATCCCTTAATGGGGGCTCCTATAAAGTACCCTTAGTAGTATAGGGCCTCAAATAAGGGGATCTACTTTCTAGATCCTCTCCGGGGTCTGGGTAACTAAGACCTGCGGCCGATCCTGTAGGCCACCCACTGGCTGCTGTTGCTTCGGCTCCTCTGGAGCTCTCGGCCCAAGGGGAAGACTGACTAGCTGCCGAAGGCGCGGGAGGATGCGTTTCAGGATTTTGGGGTTTGGGATGGCGTGAGGTGTAGGATTTTTAGGCGCTTGGACTGCTGCAACCTGACGCGGGTTAGCAGCAAAGGGGAAAGGCAGGGGGGGGAAAGGACCTAAACCCAAAAGGACCGACAGGTCCGCTACGAAACCCCTCGGGCAGCAGGCGCCTTGCGCCAGCCGTCTCGCTGTCCTCTATTCTGCCACTCTCTGCGGCGAATCGAGCCCATAACATGCAAGCGCTCTTTCACGATTTTGATTTGCTGAGCATCGGTAGCTAGCGAACCGTCCCAACCTAGCCTAGCAGCTAGCTCGCCCGGCGGACGAGGAACCCTACGAAGATCAGCATGCCCCGCGCAGGACCAAAGCACATGATCCACACACGGAACCACCGCCTGACGACAGTCCCAACACCAGCCGTCGCGCGCGCCAGCGCCCTTGCGAGACGCATCAGTGTGCATGCCCCCGACCAAACATGCTAGAGCGTCCCCGTCCAACTCCTTAGCAATGCCTCGCAACCTATCAAGGAGGACGTCGGAGTAACTCAGGCCAGCCGCACGGGCCACCTGCGAGTCTCTGCGACTGGAAACCATCCACTCAGCGAAAGCATGTTGCCTCCACGATTGGCGCAGTTCATGCAAAGCTTTGGCTTGGTGTTGCAACGAACACCGGACGTCAAGCGAGCCGCGCGGGCCGTGCCACACACCCCAACCACGGTGCAGCCAGCCCCAGGGGCGAAGGAGAGACGAAACCTGACTCATCAAGGCCGGCTGAGGAGCCTGAGGACTCGGAACCGGGAGCCGCCGAGCAGAGCGAAAACGGGTCCAACGACAAAGAGCGGCCAAGACGCGGCCGACGGCGAAACACCTGAGGTCAGCGAAGTGACCCCACGCGACAGCACACACAAGCTGACGGCTCGCACGCCCAGCACCGTTTAACCTACCCTTGATGGCAGCACGCCAAGAAGCCCAATAGTGGTTGGACTCGCCAACGGTAGGAGAGCGACCGGTAATGAGAGCCCCCCAAGCCGCACAAGGAGGAAGCATCGCACGGGCAACTTGGAACCTGAAGCTTTGCCTGACGGGGAGCAAGCCAATGCGAATGCCTTTGGCACGAACCTTATCCAAACGGGCCTTCTCGGCAACAGCCTGCCGCCGCCGAGGAAGGCCCATGACCGCCCCAAGGACTTCGCCTTCACCTTTAACCGCCGGGTGGCGGCCGTGCAACGAAGCCGCCGCAGCCGGCGTGCGGCCCCAGATCTGGGTTTTCTCGGCATTCGTGCACATGCCGGAGATGGTGCTAAACTCATCCCACTCAGAGACAACGGCAAGAACACGCGGAAGAGCGGTACCGACGCAAGTACGGTCATCGAGGAAGAGGACCTGCTTGACATCGGGGAAGCGAGACTGACTGCGAGAAAAGACAGGCTGGAGAGCCGCCGCCAAAGCCAAAGGAGCAAAGGGATCTCCTTGCGGCAGCCCACGAGCACCGTGGAGGGCCTCGTGGGCGACGCAACCACCAACGCAAGTCCAACGGATCTGCCCACGCCACTGGTGCTGCAGAAGAGTCAACGCCGGACCTTCCAAACCCCATTGCCGGAGAGCATGAAGAGCAACCTCGGGCTCCAGACTATCAAACGCCTTCAAGAAGTCAAGAGCGACCGCCACACCGTGAGTGTCGGCCGGGGCCTCGAGCTGCAAGTCCAACAGCAAACACTCCGGGTCGGGCGCCTCAAAGCCACCGCCCTGCCCCGGAGCGAACAGAGGAGCGACAAAGCGACTCAACTGAGACGTAACGTGCGAAGCCCACACTCTATACAGCAAGTTGGCGATACTGATGGGCCTAACCTTATCAACCCTGGAAACCTTATCCTGGGAGGAACCCTTGGGGATGTACACGGTGCGCCAGTGCAAGCACGACTGCGGCCACACACCCGCACGCTCGATGCAAGCGAGAACCTGACAGAGACGCTGAAGCGCAGCGCTAGGCAAGGCAAGCCACAGGTCGGCATTCCACGCGTCAGGCCCAGCAGCCTTCCGTTTCATGCGGCTGAGAATGGAACGAAGAACAGGGAGGGTGAGAGCCGAAGGCTCGAAGCGCTCAACCGGAGTGCGAAAGTTGTCATCGTAGGCCTCACGGTACTCTTGCAAAACGCTCGCGGCGGAGGCGCGGCGACTCGTGAGGAGTTGCCCCCACCAGCTGTGCAAACACTTGGCCGAAGCAGCCTTACCAGCGTGAACGGTGTCGTCACGCGGGTCTTTAACCAACCAAGGAGGAGGCTGAGAGGCATTAACCCACCTACACGCCGAACTGAGGTCGTGAACCTTACTGCGCCACTGCTGCCGCGCAGCGTCCTGCCTACTCCTAATGGTATCCTGAAGAAGCTTTTTAGCCCAAGCCTCAAGCAGATCCCAACAACGGTCCCGAACGTGGTGCAAAGGACCGTTGGCCCGGGAGACCGCATGGGTGACCCTGCGGAGGAGAAGCTGCTGACAAGCATCCCGGGCATCTTGAACCCGACACTCACGAATTTGGCGGATGAGGCGACGCATCTGGCGCTCCCGCACGGGTTGGCCAACGCCGTAACAGGAACCCCCATGACACACCGTAGGCATGGAACCAAGCGGCCGCTGACCGTCTATAGAGTGCTCAACGCCCCCGCTTGGACAAGATAACACTCCGCATCATTGGACCAGCGAGCCCAAATGGCGTCAACCAACCCGCTAGCTAAAACCCTATCCCAATCGGTGGCGGAGCAAGCAACGGAGTCCCAAAGGCTGCACGCGCTGGCATCCGAAAGCTCCGGTGGCTCGTGCGTCTTCTTACGGGTGGCGGTGAAACGCCACTCGCGGCAACCAACCGGCTTACTAACGCTAGTGAGCTCACCCTGCAAAGTAGAGTGGTCGGCAAACCTGTCGAGACAGACGCTGCCCTTAGGAGAACCAGCCTGAGCAGCTTGATTGAGCCATAAACCGTCAATGAGGACAGAACCCCTCTCATGCATCCCGGAAGTGAGGAGCGAGAACCCCAAACCCGCCAGAACGGGCGCAACGGGCGAGTGAGTAACCGAGGCATTCCAATCGGCACCGAAGACGCAAGGCCGAGAACCGAGACCGACGAGGCAAGCATTGAGATCGGAAAGCAAGGAAGCCTCAGGGATAGGCCGACGGTAGGCACAAACCACGACGAGATTGACACTCAGACCCCAAACCTCAACTTGAAGGATTTGGCCCTCGCGCTGCGAGGCAGTCCAACCGATAGAAGCGGCCAAAGGCTCGCGAACCAGAACACCAACGCCACCTTTGCCCTCCGCACCGGAAGGATTCGGGAGAGCGACAAGTTGCCAGCCTTGACTAGCCGCCCAAGTCACGGCACCGCGCACGGCATGAGGGCCTATGTTAAGCTCTTGCACCAGAATGATGGAAACATCAGCTTGGGTAGCCTCCTCCAGTAAGGAGGCCGAGTGACTGTACCAACTTTGGATGTTCACGGACCAAATGCGCATCGGCTTAGGCGGGGCAGACGAGTGCGGCCCAGGATGCCGCGCCTCGCCGAGCTCACGCTTACCTCTCAAACCCCGCCGAGTGATGGAGAAAGCAGCTCGCGGAGCGATGAAGAAAATCACGGCCCCGAGGCGAAAGGAACCACGCACGTGCCAGGAGTACGAGGAAGCAGGGGACGGAGGCCCCGGGTGACGCGCCTCTCCAAGCTCACGCTTACCTCTCAAGCCGCGCCTTGTGATGGAAAAGGCAATACGCGGAGCGATAAAGAAGATCCCCGACTCAAGGCGAGAGCAACACTGCCAACGTACGGGCTCAAGATGACGATGACCTGAGGGACCCGGGTGTCGGGCCTCCCCCAGCTCTCTGGTCCCCCGGAGTCCGCGCAAGGTGATGCTGAAGGCCTCCCACGTGGCGGTGAAAGCCTCCGGAGACATTTTCCTGCGCATGCGAAACCTGAACGACCTATCCTCCGGAGGATGCTTTGGATTCTCGGAAGTTCTATTCCTGAACACATAAGCCGGCTTCAACCACTCACTGACCTGAGCACGACATGCTTTCCATTTGCGAAGACGCTCTTTCTGAGGAGGGATGGCGCCTTCTGACAACAATGGGTCCTTACCACAAGTGAGGAGGGGGACGTCCTCCCGCCTAATCTCCAAATTGCAATGGCGACATACATGAAACTTTTGGGTATGTCCCGCGGTCTTGCCTGATGCTCGACGAACCTCGCGACTGTTCTCACTTATGGCATGCGAGCCTGGCCATCGGAATCTCATGAACAGCCGCCATTGATAGTGCCATCGCCAATCGGTGGAGGCCACCGACTGCTGAATGCGAACCGGGTCAATGTGCAGCCCGTGCCTCGGCAAGTGAGGCACGTCCTCCATCCCGTGAACTCGCCGCAAGTGGTGCGAGCGCTTCTTGGAATAGTCACACTTACGACCTCCTACCTTACCCGTGTAATACACCTTGAAATCGCACAAGGGGCACGGCCACCAAACCCGTGGCCCGTCAGGGAGGGGCATCGGAGTGCCCAGCCGAAGAGGCCTCGGAGGGCCCTCATCCGAAACAGCCTGAGTGGGTACTCCAACTCCAACTGACGATTCATGATGCTTTGACGGCGTAAGTTGCAAGTGTCCTAGCTCGGTGTCACCAGGAACTGAAGCGAAAACCGTAAGGCCTCCAGCTTGATGCGATGCGAACTCCGTGAGGCGAGCACTGGATGCAGGTGCAGGCGCCGACTTGGGGCCCCGGCGAGTCGGGGAGGATGCCGTTTCCGATGCGAAGTCCGAAAGACACACACTAGGAGGTTGCTTACGCTTATGGCCGCCTCCGCGCAATCCATCACACTTAGGCTTGCCTCCTTGGGCGCGAGGCTGGAGCTGATCCTCCAGGTCGCCTTCCAACCACTCGTAGTGTTTGGCAGATGCGCTGTAGTACAGCACAACTGGTGATCCCTCACCCTCACGATTGAAGAGATAGACCTGCCCTAACTCGTGAACGATGTAGACTCGAATGTTAAGGACATGAGCGGCAGCATAAACTTCCAGGGCACCCACATATTGACCCGTCTGAGAAATCGTATCGACATAATCTTTAAAGGACTTAGACCAATGTGAGTCATCAGGCCCTCGCTTGTCCCAGAAGGACTCGTAATCCTCGAGGTGGCGGCTCATGTGCGTGGTGATGCATGCACGAAGTTGCCTATGAGACCTAGTCTTGTGCTGGAAATGCGACAGAGCCTGAGCCATGGACAACCACATGCAATTTCCCTTCCCTTCATTAGGACGTTTAACAGCACCGCTAGGGAACCATGGGGTGGGAGCTTCCTCCTGCACCGTTTCCAGATCAATCAAATCCTCAAACGCACCATTCAACTCCCGACTACGGCTCCTACTGCGGGGCTTGTCCGAAGATGCATGGGCCTGTCGGCCTCGGGCTTCTCCATCAACGTGCGGTTGATGCATGGGCACGTCACCCCCTGAAGCTTGGGAGTTGCGCGCTCCTCTGTAGACTACCCTGCGCTCCTGAGGGAGGGCCGCCATACTCTTATACGGGGCTTTGCGCTTGGCTTCCTTGGTGATGGTAAGCTCAAGAACATCTCCTTCGAAATCCGTAAGTGTGGGCTGTACCAACTCTTTGCCATCAGATCTAGAGGCTCGGAAAGTCCAGGTGACTCCATCCCTCCTACGACCCTTGCTTTCAATACAGACATCGTCAAAACCCGAATCCGAAAGGAAGCGCTCAACCTCTTCGTAATCCCAACCCCTAGGTGCAGACTGGAGCCGCCACACGGTGCGCACAGGAACCAGTCTAGCATCGGAGCTTGACACTCGGAGTCCCAACTGAAAGCGGCCATGCACTACACCGTGCTCTGCATTGTGTGAAACGCGCTTAGCGTAGTCCTCATAACTCTCATGTTCGGACCATGGCTGCCACAAAACGTGATGTGGAAGGTCTGGGAAGGACGGCTTATCCAGGACCTCAACAAACCACCGCATTCCGGCACACGAAGTGCCGCTGGCTCTAACCAGCTTGGTGACTGTGTCCGAACCCTTAACACGCATCAACCCTGAAATAGCCCGCGAATCCCCACACTGAAACCCCCAAGTATCCATGCATTTGGAAGCAAGCTCGGAGTCGAGGGATTGGGTCCAAGCTCGGGCGCTCGCGCCCGGAGCCCGTTGGGCATCCCACCACTTTTCACCCATGTAAGCTTTACCAGCGGTAAAGCGCAGCACCCAAGTGTTACGCGCATCCTGACGGGAAGGCACACTAAGCTCAGAATCTCGAACCTCGACCCTGCTGCGGAGTTTAGGTGCATGACGGTGGGTGCGTAAGACCCAAGCCCATCTCATGCGCAGGCTACCCCGACTCTGGCCTGGGAGCTTACACTTTTCAAAGCAGTCCATCCACTCGTCCTGAACGGATGTCGGTAGATCCTGATCTGTGGGCCACACAAGTGTGACAGCAGCATTAAGTTCTCCCCTTGCGACCTGGATGGCTTCTTCGAAATGCTCTAGCGAGCCTACGTCTACGACCCAGGCATCGGCGACCCCGTACTCGTCCAATCCTAAGGCAAACTGCTCAGGTCCGGTGGCAATACGTATCCTAGCATCGTGGGCAGTTTCCCAGTCTGACACGCGCAGACGCCATGACCTAACTTCATGCCATGCCCCCTCTGACTGTTGGCGGTCAACTGGCAACGTGCGGGCCTGGGCCCTGTGGCCTGGAGCCTGTGTCCACGATTCCCGTCCCCAATTTGCCTGAGCTCCCCAAGCGCCCTTCCTATCATCGCGGCTCCAATCTACCCACTGTGCAGACTGTGCATGCGGCTCGTGCCCTGCAGCGGGCGGCTTCTGATTGTAAAACGACTGCTTCGGTTGCTGATGCGATGTTGGTGCGGTCCTACGTGTACCCTCAGCAGTAATCAACTGCTTGAGCTCGCCGAACAGATCGATGTTGTGTCGTTGTCTGTTAGCCCTTTGCACAAGCGACTTGAGGGTCTGCAGAAGAGCCTCGTCCAGGTTGGAGTGGGCCCCCCCACCCCTCATCGAGGGCACCTGTGCATCAAAGGCTTCCTGCGAGCAAAACAGTCTTTCCTTGGCTTGCGAATCAACTTTCCTAGCAACACCATCGGGTGACTGAAAGGAACCATCATGCATATCACACGTGACTTGTGACGTGCTCGCAAAACTTTCGGCTGGGGGCAGCTTCGAAGCGGCATCGGAGTCACCCAAGACTTCTTCATGCAGCATCCTAGTGACAGCTACACCCTGCAAATTTCCATCGGAACATGGTTGCCCAATTGAACCCTTCACACATGGCTTGACAGTTCTGCGCGGCTTACGGCGCCGACTCCTACGCCTGCGCGGTCTGGGCGGCAATCTCAGGAAATATCCCCTGAGTGAAATCAGCAACGCTATCAAAGCTCTAGAGCTGGACCTAATCAGACGATTGGTTTTGCGTCCCAAGGGGCGCCTTCTGCATCCGACGACCCGTGCTGGCAAGGCAAAGGCAGCTCTCACACGTTTGGATTTCTTGGAGCGGCAGCTCCACTGTCGCCCCCCAAGCATGAAAGAATGCACGCAGCAAATGCAAGAAAGCAAGCGGCTCGAGAGCCACTTCGCGACAGCCAACCTAAAATCGGAAGAACCCCAAACCAAAAGCAACCCTAAGCGGAGGCCTAGGCTGCAGCCTTCCCGGACCTGTCTGCACCAGGAGGTTGCCAATCTCCTGGCCCACGCCCAGCACGAGGAGCTCGGTCCGCGGGCGCCGTGAGGTGTAGGATTCTGGGCTTCGGGGGGTTCAAGTTGAGTTATGAGCTTTGGACCTGATTTCGGGTCAGAGGGTCACATGGTGTCGGGCGTAGGGGATAGACCAAAAGTATCCAGCGTGCTTCCCGTTGCCGCGGATCCAGCTCCAGCAAGTGAGGAGCCTCCATCGACGGACGGCTGAGCGAGCGAAAAAGCAAGTGGTGAAGGGCCATCAGTTTCTAGATGCGAAACAAAGAGGATGGGCTGAAGGAGAGAGTAACCCCTCAAGTGTGATCTCATCCTCTTCTCGGAGATGGTGTAGGATTTGAAGGGTCAAGGAGGAAGGGCGTGCTCCACGTTGTTGAGGGATTCCGGATATTCCGGCTTGGGGTTTTAGGAGTTTAAAGGTGGGGCTCGAGAAAGACAGGCATCGGCATACCAAGGCATAGTCGAGCTTTTCTGTGCCCCAATGCTTCCGCTCAGAGGCCTTGCGATTCTATCGCATGCCTTCTTTCCTGGAACTGCCTTCCTTGGCCTAGACGCTTCAACCCTGAAGCCTGCATCGGAGGCCAGTCTTTGGTAGACCCTCGCACAGGCTGCACATTCTGGTTCCCTTTCGAGATCATGTTCCGGTTTCAGCAAGCTTCGGATGCCTGTGAAGGTCCTGAGGTTTCCGAAGCGGCGCATGCGGGCAGCAGACGGGATTAAGCATGTTCGGTGTTGGAGGTAGGGCATTTGCAAGTGAAGAGCCGTGGTAGTTCCATGTTGTGCCATGGCAATGACCGACAGCGTGAGCTCGCGGACATCCACATCAGCTCCTGAGTGTCATTCCTGCTTCACCCTACATGAGGTCCCCACCGCTGCAACGAAGTGGATCACATGCAGAAGCCAGAGATGCCTCCACGAGAATCCTGAGCTTCCCGAGCGCGGCAAGAGGTTTGCCTTATGCCGCCAGTGCCTTGAGACCGGCATTTGTCCGCAATGTGGGGAGGTTATACCTCCGAGTGCTGTGGAAGCCATGACGGATGGGTTGCGAGTGCACAGTGAGAGTGGGACCGGATATCCCGGTAGTACCAACAGCGGAAGCAATCGTTTCTCAAGCAATCAAGGAAGTCGCAAAGAACGGAGCCGGATTGACTGGGACCAGTACCGGAACCAGAGCTGGTGGAGCGCTTCGAGCTGGGGCGGGGGTGGATGGGATGCTGACTGGACTCACTACGGTCACTACACACCTATTCACTGGAAGAGAATCTCGATCAATCCACGCTCTGTGGGACTTGTTGTGGGTAAAGGAAACAAAACCCTAGATGCACTCAAACAGCGACCTGGCATCGTGGACGTCAAAGTGCACAACGGAGGGCAAATGGAAGAGGCGCCCTGGGAAGGCCAAGGAACTAGCCGCTGCTTTGTGGAAGTTACTGGCTTCACACAGCAAGCTGTTTGGGATGTGGTGGACGAGGTGCGGAAGTACGAAAGCAGGCACAAGTGGGGTCAAACATCGGCAGGAGCTGGTGCGCGAAGCCTTCACATAGAGATCTCCAGGAAGCGAGTCCTTCGGTTTCAGGCGGCAGCCATGGAAGCAGTTGCTGCTGACTTCTCGGCATACAAGCAAGAACGAGACTTCTACACCATCAGTCACGGCGACAGGACCAATGTAAATCCAAACCCGGGCCGGTCCGAGACACGAGCCCGTTCATTCATTCACGTCGGCCCGAATCTTCCGGGCTTGTCATGTCTTCTGCACGAGCTGCAGAGAGTTTTGAGCGGTCTACCAGATGGAGATGCTTGAATAGCAATGAGATTTCTGCACAGAGGAAAGGCAGCATCGCTTAGAGGCCTCAGTTTGTCAGGGATTGCAGCTACCCCACTGTGCGAACAGCCGAGGAAGATGCAAGGATCGTCATTCGACTTGGGTGCTTGCTCTTCTCTGGCCTGGATCGAGCCGCACTCCGTTGGTCGCAGGAGGACTCTGTCAAAGCACGGTTGCAACATCCTCAGGTGCCCCCCCTTAGGCTTTAAGCCAAACGAACGACATGCTCGAAGGAGTTTGGGCGTCTACATCCAAAATCCGACTTCCAGACCCAGTTCTCGAAGTTCGTCAAGGATTCGGTTGCTGAACGCATCAAGCTGTTTTGGGAGCTCAATCTGTTCGGGCACCAGCGAGAGCCGCATCCCACGTGCCTTGCCTCGCTTGATTAGCTTACCCCTGGGTTCGTCAGCGGCTTGACTCAGTTGGCGGCTCTCTTTAAACTTACCTGAACCCCCAAGGGCTGTCGGCTATAGGCTGTAGGCGCAAGTACTGAGCGGTTAACATAAGGCCACTTGTCCCTTTCGGGCTTCTAGTGATGAGTTTGACTCTCTCGGCATCGTTGGAGCAAGGTCACGATGCCTAGCTTTTCTCCGGTTACAGTTTCGGTTCACCCGTCGAAATTATGAATGGATCACAACGGTTGGAGCTTACCGAGCTCCAGCAACAAACCCAAGACCTGAATATTGAAAGGAGAAGGTTTATGCTGCCCTAAACCCCTGAACCCTTAATCCCGCCCTGGACCAGTCCCAGCCCTGTCGGTTCGGTTCAGGTGCGAGAGTAGCGCGGAGATACGCCTGGAGCTGCAGGAGGAGAATCGGAATAAAGGCTTTCGCAGCACAGGTTGGTTTGGGGTTATATCGGATTACCCAGGGGTTAGGACCCAGAGTAAGCCCTTATTCCCATTTTTAGGCTTCAGGTTCCCTTGTAACTCCCTTTATTGATGTAAGGGCACCCTTGTTATTCCTAGGTTACTCTTAGGTCTAGGGGGTTATGGATCTTTACATGGTTGTTAAAGTTGAACATCGAGATCTTAGTCTAGCAACGAGAATAATGAGGGCTTTGGCATATACAGTACTTCAATGAGGGGGTGGGGGGGGGGGGGGCGTAAAACTACAAATTACATATTCATATATGTCGTTGGCCTTAACTAGATCGTTTAGAAGAGGTTCACCGCGGCACGCCTAGAGCCCGGGACTCCGCCATCCTATGGGAACGAGTAGGCTTCTGTCTTCGAGTGAGGAAGGAGTGCATTAGTTGCAATCCTTGCGCCGGTCACTCAGGAGAAAGGACACACAGGATGATCCACCGCACTGCATGATGCTTGTAGGAGGGTGCTTTTGTTTAGGGCCCACACCAGAGGTTAGGTTTCATCCTGTTGGAAGGAAGAGCGGAAGGACTTGCCCAAGGAGTTGGTGGCAGTTCTTCACGACCCAGACGTTGACTTGAAGTCAATCAAGCAGCTCGGGCGCGGCTCCATCAAGCACGTGCACAGCCGCACGGGGAGGTGCACCGCTTAGTGTACAAGCTTATAGGTTACCGAGCGTTACCGGTCCAGCTTCGGATGTTTCGAGTGGCCTTGACTCTGGAGCTTGGATCGGACGTTTGAACACCAAACGTCGCGGCTGGTGCGGGTGCTTCAACCTTAAACCAATGACCACGGGCTGTATTCTTGCCAAGTAGAAGATGCGCATTGTGTTCTACGGATTTTAGAGGGACTTAGCGGAACTAGCCCCGTTGTGGGTGGCAGTTTCCGGAAACCCAAAACTCTAAACTCGGCTTGCCAAAGCGGCTGTCGACCCTGGAGCCCAGTTGCTCAAAATCAGGGGCCCGAATTGTCCTGAAAAGGCTACGCCTGAAGCCAATGTGGTACCCTATGAGGGTTCAAGGCTAAGGCTGAAAAGTTTAGGGTTTGGCCTTTGCCCTCAGAAGCTAAGGTCTGGAACCCAGGTTTGAACCTAGTTGCCATTGTCTTGCAGTCTGCATTCCTGACACGCTCAGGTGGGAAGTAGTTTTGGGAACTTGAGCCCCCCGATTCCCCTCGAGGTTCAGGCCCCTCCTCCTATTCCCCCATCCTTTATCAAAGCAAAGATGTCCAAGAGACAGCTCCAACAGCAGCATGCGTTCCACGACACGGCTCCATGCGCAGTTGACATCAGTTGACATTCAGTCTTAGCCCCAAGGCCGACCATAAACATTGCCAACATACTATAAGAAATCCGATAAACCAATCCTGTCTCAGCTGTCTTCGTGATGTCCTACTTACCCATCTTGGTATCTACGCGCACAAATTCTCACCTACTCATCCTTTGTTTGACTGTGTGCCTATCGGCCAGTCTGTCCATGTGGTTTCAACTTCTATGCATGTAGGAACTACGGTTCAACTTTACACGCTGACTTCTGTTTCGTAGTCTTTTGCTTCTGCAAGCCTGAAACCGCATGCCTTGCATCTTAGACCTAAAGGCACGGGCATGAAGACAACAAGGACTTCTCCAGTTCCTTCCTCACAAACTGTTAATTCAGGGTTCATGAAAGGGTTACCACCGCGCCGCCCCAAAAATGGCTTGCTTGCCTCCTCGTCCTCAGGCGGTTGTATGCAGACCTCTGCTTCGCAGAGGCCACAGAGACAGAGCTCGGCTTGTCTCTTCGCCTCCAGGCAGCTTATCTTGTTGCCAGAGCTTTCCGCAATATTACGAAAGTTCAGACTTATGGTGTGAGATTTCGGTCTTCGTCTGCTGCCCGAAATTCAATTAGTGTTTGGAGTTTCCACTTAGGCTTTGAGGACTTTGGCGCAGCGCACGCTCGCGAGGGTTTGAGGGGTCCGCGCAAAAGGTGTTTTCGTTGTCAGGTTTCCGGTATGATACTTAAAACTGATACTGTGCATCTCTGCGTAGGAAGCAATAAGTGTCCCGAACGCTCCGGTTCTCTCTGTTTTTTCACGAGGATCGTGAAAGGTTCCAGAGTGTGATAGGCTTCAGAATATGAAAGCTAGTTGCACTAGTACAAGCATCGACTGGGAAGTGCTTTGTTTCGTACAGGTATCTGCACGGCATGTAGCACCCTGATGCCGTCGTGGACCCCCTCTGGTCGTTTACACCCAATCGGAGGGCATGAACTAAGGCTTGCACCTTGTATAGCTACTGGCAGGCAGGAAACGTTAAGACCGATCCTATCCTCATGTCTCGACCCGCCCTTTATCGGTGGTAGCAGCAAACGCCGTGCTTCATGACTGCTTGCAGGTCACCTCTGGGAAAGATCCCCGCCCGCAAGTGCACTGAAAACTCAGGAGGCATCGCTTACCAGCTTGGAAGTCGTACATCCTCGTGGTAGTGGTGGTAGTCGTAGTAGTAATAGTAGTAGTAGTAGTAGTTGTTGTTGTAGTTGTAGTTGTAGTTGTAGTTGTAGTTGTAGGAGTAGTAGGAGTAGTAGTGGTAGTAGTAGTAGTAGTAGCAGGAGTAGTAGTAGTAGTAGTAGTAGTAGTAGTAGTAGTAGTAGTAGTAGTAGTAGTAGTAGTAGCCGTCGTCGTCGTAGTAGTATAAGTAAGTAAGTAAGTAGTCGTCATAGTTAGCAGCAGCAGCAGCAGCAGGAGCGGAAACAGCAGCAGCAGTAGTAGTAGTAGTAGTAGTCGTCGTCGTCGTCGCAGTAGCAGTAGCGGTAAGTAGCAGTAGCAGTAGCAGTCGCAGTGGCAGAGGCAGTAGCACTAGCAGCAGCAGGAGCAGTAGCAGTTGCAGTAGTAGTAGCACCAGTAGCGGTACTGGTAGCTGTAGCAGCAGCGAGGAGGAGTAGTAGTAGTAGTAGTAGCAGTAGTAGTAGTAGTAGTAGTAGCAGTAGCAGTAGTAGTAGTAGTAGCAGTAGGAACCGTAGGAATAGTAGGAGTAGTAGTAGCAGTAGAAGTCGTAGGCTCCCGCCCCCTCTACCAACCACCTCTCCTAAACACTGTTTGAGAGCGCATCGGTATGCACAGTACTTTCGTGATGTCGTAGTCCAATACCAACCACCGCTGTTGAGCACTGTTGCTGCTTGCGGTGTGAGGGTGCGGGGAGGGGGGGGGGGGTGTGGAGGGGTGAGGTAGGGGGGCATGATGACGTACTTTTTATGAGCACATCCGTTTATATGTACAATACGTTCGTGAAGTCATAGCCCAATACCAAAGATGATGATGACGATGCTGATGATGGGTTTCAGGCGTCAGGTGATTGAATAGGCGGGGGTGGGGCGCTAGTGTAGTAGTAGCAGTCGTAGTAGCAGCAGTAGTAGTAGTGGCGGTAGCAGTAGCAGTAGCAGTAGTAGTCGTCGTGGTAGTAGCAGTCGTCGCAGTAGCAGTCGTAGTACTAGCAGTAGTAGTAGTAGTAGTAGCAGACGTGATAGTAGTAGTATAGTTGTAGATGTAGCAGTAGCAGTAGCAGTAGCAGCAGCAGTAACAGTAGCAGTAGCAGTAGCAGTAGCAGTAGCAGTAGCAGTAGCAGTAGCAGTAGCAGTAGCAGTAGCAGTAGCAGTAGCAGTAGCAGTAGCAGTAGCAGTAGCATAGCAGTAGCAGTAGCAGTAGCAGTAGCAGTAGCAGTAGCAGTAGCAGTAGCAGTAGCAGTAGCAGTAGCAGTAGCAGTAGTAGTAGTAGTAGTAGTAGTAGTAGTAGTAGTAGTAGTAGTAGTAGTAGTAGTAGTAGTAGTAGTAGTGGCAGTAGCAGTAGTAGTGGCAGTAGTACTAGTATAGGTGAAGCCGCAGCAGGGGGAGGATGAGGACGAGGGGAGTAGTGGCAGCAATAACAGTAGCAAAGTCTTAAGCCAAAAACCCGGAGGCGATCTAGAGTTTAAGTGCTAGTCTGAGTTTTCGGTTCGGGACTCTTGATTGAAAGTGAACGACTTTCAAGCTCCTCGCTCCACTCCAATGCCTCGTCTCTGAGCAAACATCATGGGCCCAAACCCGAGGACTGTGCTCATGTCCAAGATCTTCTTGAAGAGGCACCGATTACAGAAGGCTCCAAGAACACCAAGCTCATTACGCTGGCTCACAATGGCCGCAAGGCAGCAAGCCCTCCAGACGAGGAGTTTTGGAAGAATCGTTTTAAGGCTGCAGGCTGCAGCTTCTGGAAAGCTTGTTGACGGGCTTCCAGTGCTAAGCTGACACACACACACACACAGACACATCGATTATCGGTCATCGCAGCACTCGAGGAAGTGTTTCTAAAGTCTAGAGTGCAGACAGGTCATGTTTTTCAACCGTCCACTGACCGCACGAATCCGCGCCATGTGTTTCATGTCCAGTGGTTTCGAAGTAAGGGTTTTGTACGTTGAGAGTTCAGTTCGACTTACAATTTTCGGAGTAGTGTGGTTTAGTTGAAGGTTCCCTTAGCCTGCCAGGGTCGAAAAATGACGAGTTCTCGGAAGGCACTGAGGCTTTGAGGCAGCAAGCAGGCTAAAGTAGGATTCCTGGTTCCTAGTACATGTTGGTTTCAGCGAGCTTTAGAGCGTGGACGATACCTACTCATATGGCTCGTCTTCTTCTCCGTTCGACCGTTCTCTATGTACTACCCCAAGCCTCTAAGGACTCGTATTTTAAGGCTTTTGGGCCTAAAGACCATATTATGTAAGGCTTTTGGGCCATTTTGAGCCTTAGGTTAAACTACGAAGACGAAGCAGGCTCAGAGAACTCCACGATCCCGAACATCCTGGTTCTTGTCCAACCCTATTGTGGGATGGATAGCTACGTATCCGTTTCCGTTGTCATCATGTGGATCTCCTTACCCAAAGGGTCCAAAGTACCTAGATAGTAGAATGTAGGGTTTCTATATTAATTCGGAATTACTATTATGATTTGGGGAAGTTGTCCGCATTACAGTATCTAGGACCCTTTGGGTTAGAGCGGTTAGAGCCAAAACCAGACCAAGGTCCGGCTCAGTATTGCGTCCAGGCGCTGAAGCGCGTGCATTTGCAAGAAAGCTACGCCGGCCAGGGTGTCGCCTCGGCGACTTTTAAGCGACTCACGGAAAGTGATCATCGGCATATGTTCACAGGCAACATCGAGAGCTGGGAGGTTGAGTTTTCCTCTGGAGCCTTAGATGTGTTCTTGAAGACTCGGGGACAAGAAAACGAGGCTTGCCTTGAGTGTGAGAAGCTTGTCTCCGAGGTCTCCAAGTTTATGAGTTCCTTTTTGTCTCAGCCCCCAGCCTAGGCTGTCCACGTTTTCCGCCCTACAACCCATCGTTTCACAGAATCAGCTTTTGTCCGAACATAGGTCAGTGAAGGTCGCATGTGAGAAAAAGCCCAGTGCTCGGATTACAGCTCCCTCTTGGAGTCGCTGGCCTGGTTCCCGAATTCGGAGCAAAGCAGAGGTCTAAGTGGTTAGTATCTTGCTGTAGTTTCTAAGCACCTTTGCTACAATATGCCCCCAAACCTAGCTAGGCGCCGGTATTATCTACTTTTGGGAGACCTGTTTTGATCCCTTCGCTTCTTCTCGCCACGCTCACCTTTCGGAAAAGGCAGAAGTGAAACCTTCCAGCCACTTCCATGCCACAGCTTCCCAGCGTGATGGTGTCGTCCTTCAGCCCCCATGCTCGGCTCTCGTTCGGTGGGCAAGAGGTGTTACCCTGAGGCCCCAAAGTAGTTCCTTTTTGGGGCTCATATATATATATATATATATATATATATATGCGTATATATATATATATATATATATATATATTTCCATAACGTAATAAAAGGAACTGCTTTGGGGCCCTCTGGGTACATCCTTCGGACAAGCACAAGTTACAAGGCTTTCGCGACGTGAGCTCCAAAGCTCCGGCGTTGCTCTGGCGGAAATCTTCATGCACAATAATTACGTAGAAAAGGATTTTGGGTTTAGGGTTTTGGGGTTTGGGGGCCCATTGTACTATAACTATAATAAGGAACCCCCATAATAGTATTGGTAAGTATTTAAGCCCCACCCTTCTCGCCTCCTCGGCCTCCGTGGGCGGAGCAGGGGCGACGAACAAACGACCGATCTCCCTAAACCCTATAAACCCTAAACTGTTTGTTGCTGCTGGTGCACCGAGTTGAGCAGCCTTGTTTCGTCAGTTCCTTGTCTGCCTGCTTTTGAAGCCAAGGTCGGTAGCGGGCCTCTCAATAAGTCAAGGCAGAAACCTGAGAGACCCAAAATTCTGAACCTGCCCCAAAGCTCTGAAGCCCTGAACTCTCCCTACCTCAAGCCTCAAGCCTGAAGCCGCTCGGTCTAGGCTTCAAACCCTCAACCCTCAAGCTTAAAAGCTTAAGCTTCAAGCCGGACAGATCGAAATCTTAAAAAAAAAGGTCACAGGGCTTCGCAAGCTTAGAGAACCTACGAAGATCCGGGCATGCAATTCGCTTTAGCGATGAGGGCACTGCTAAACCCCAATGCCTGTGCAGGTGGTGGCTGTCAGGAGCCAGCATCGTCGAAACTGCTACATACCACCGCCGCAGGCCAAACGGGCTTTGTTCTTGGGGTCCGTAGTCTACGGTTGATTAAAGTTCATAGTATGACCGTAGATTCCGGAGTGACATCAACACATCAGATCCCTTGGGGCTCCAGCTGCCCAGAGTGTAGGTCGGCGATGTATAGTAGCTTAGCCCAGTATTCGGAGCCCTGTTGTCATCGAAGACCGTTTCAACCAGTCTCCTTCCGCCCTATAATGCACCCAAACTCTTAGACGCTTAATGTCAAAACTGTTAAAACCCTGGGGAAAGATCGAAAACAAATCTCGGTCTCGAATCCTCAGACCCTGGCTATAACTCCAGTGTCATTCCTCCTTTTGTCAGCCAACTCAGTTGTGCCTATCTCGTAGGTAGATGCATAAAGTTAGGCCTTGCAAGCTCAAGACCTCTTAGTTTGCAAGCTTTTCTTTCGTATTTATCCAGATTGTCTACATGCATCACAGACATGCGCAATATGTGCATAGCTTTGAAGTTACATATGCGGACCTACTCCCCGCTCGGCAACTTTTTCTGATAGCAGACCCTAAACCCTGAATACCAGAGCCCTATACCCTAAAGCCCTAAACCCCTCAACCCCTAAACCCTAAAACCCTAAACCCCCTAAAACGCCAAAACCTGCAGCGCGGCGCGATTCAAGATCTCCTTGCGTGGGAGGTTTTTCAGGGGCTTCTCTGTTGCCGGGCTTTCGGCTTTCGGGTTTTTAGGGGTCTGGGGTTTGGGGCTTAGGGTTATAGGGTTCAGGGATGTAGGGCTTAGGGCTATAGGGTTTAGGGGTCTGGGTTTAGGGTTTTAGGGTTTCAGGGATTTAGGGTTATAGGGCTTAGGGTTATAGGGTTTATGATTTGTTGCTGGGTTCAGTGTCTAGGCTCCGATCGGATTTTTCGGAAGAGCGCTCGGACAGGACCTGTCGTGGCACCCTCATAGCTGCACGAAAGAGAAGAAAGGACTGCCCAACATTCGTAACAATAGCAAGAATAGAAATCACCCGAAAAAGGCACTGCGGCAAGATCTCGGGCGATTCTAAGGAAAAGCTGTGCAGACTACCTTTTTGCAAGCCTCAAGTTCCTCAACCCGCGGCACCGACATCGAGAGACCAAAAATAAATTGGGTCGGCCAGCAGCAAAGTAACATTCCTGATGCAGTTTTCTTTGGATCTCTCCATCAATAAGTGAGGCTTAAAGCTTGGGAACCAACTTAGCCCTATATATAGGGGCCTATAGCTACCTATACTATTCTGGGGGGTTCCTTCTTATAGTAAAAGTAGAGTGGGCCCCAAGACCCTGTTCTAATTGTTAAGGCCTCCTACACCATAGTACCCTTATAGTATCCCTTGTAGTAACCCATATAGACCCCTTCAAAAAGGGGGCCCTGTTCTAATTATTAAAGCCCTCTGCTAGTTTAGGTTTGGGGGTCTATCCGATGATCCCAGTGCCGCCGCAGGCCAGCCCGGTGCACTGCCTCTGCAGGAGGCAGCAAAGAAAGCCGGGCGAAGCGTGCCAAAAAAAGGGAGCGGTACCTGAAGGATCAAATGACCCTTAAAAGTAGGGGCCCTGTACTATGAATCCCTATATGGTATATGAACCTTAAACCCTTTTAGGGTTCATTTCGTCCTTAAGGTATGGGCTATGCTATGCAACAAGTAGAGCCTAAGTCGTAGGCCATAAGCTCTAGCCCCAACGTCTGCCTTCGCTCCGGGTAAGCTCAGAGGCTCTGCAAATCTCGAATGAGGCGTGCACATAATTCAACTTAGATCATATGAAGGATCCCCCTATCATATAGTCACACAAGGTTCATTCCTTTGGAGTCCCTTGGGCCCGGAAAAGTCTAGATTCAACTAAGTTCCTGAATCCCGAAACCCTGCACCGAGGTTCTGCCGAAATCCCGGATTCTGTCTCGGGATGCTGGAAAGATGCTCGGTGATGCACCTGTCGGGGTGCCCAGGATTCGAGGGAAGTCTGTAGATGTGAGATGGCCAGGGGTGATTCAAGTTCAGAATCATAGCCCTACCTGGGTGGTTGTCAAAATTAGGGTCCCTTTCTGGTCCTTATGATACGGCACCTATATTTAGGGTACCCAAAAAGGGCCATAACTTTGACAACCACCCACCTAGACCCTGAGGTGTGATACAGTTTGTTGGTTGCCTTATGTTCTTTATCAGAGGTCCTAACCATAAAACTATTGTATTGCAATGCACGATCTGGTGAACCCTTAACTCTTAAACTCTGAGCCCTGAACCCTACACCATGCAAGAAGTATATATGGGCGGTTGTCAAAATTATGGTACCTTTTTGGGTCCCTGATATACTCCGGCACCTATTATTTAGGGTACCCAAAAAGGGACCATCATTTTGACAACCACCCCTGTTTTCTTTGACACCCAAGATCCTCCGAACAAAGTCTTTCCGGGCCAAAGTATCCCTGAGGTCTCGGACCCTCAGGGGAGAAGCCATACAGGGTCCCCTTGTAATGTAGGAACCTCATTAAGAAACCATGGGCCTTTATTAGGGTTCCTTATATGAATCCTGCTGTTTTGGGGTTATAGGCCCAGGGATTCTTAATCAGGTTCCTACATTAGTCTGCAAAGTAGAGTCAAAGCCTCGCATTCCCCGCAGAACTTATTCTAGCTGCTGCGGGCCCCGGCATAAGGGAGCTTAGCGTCTACTGTTGGACATATCGACACATGAGCTCTTTCGGTTCCCCAGTAGTACCCTCACCGCCATGTCAATGTGATCTGACGGCTTTAAGGGTTCCTGAAAGGATTTCCTCGACGGGATCTATGAGATATTAGGGCTTCATAGGGTCTAAGACTTATAGGGTGTAAGCCTCAAACCGTAAACCCCTATAAGCCACCAAACTACACCCCATAGAACCCTTTAAGAAGCCTACACCCCAGAAGCCCGAGATCCCATGGGACCCTGACGGAAGCTTACGCCCCTACATTGAGTTTGTGTTCTAGAATGAAATAAAGTTACCGCAATAAGGAAACCGTATTGTCTACTGTAGATCCCTATGATGCAACCTTACTAAGATTATAAACTCCTTAACAAAAACCTAAACCCCGAAACCCTAAACCCTACATAGATCCCATAGACCCCTTAATGGAAACCCAAGTTATGCTACTTCAACATAAATCACTTAAGAAGAACCCAGTAGATCCCATACCATAAACCTTAAGCCCCCGAACCCCATTAAGTTCCTTACCAAAAACCCTAAACCCCTAAACCCCCTAACCCTAAACCCTTGAAGTTCCTTACCAAAAACCACTAAACCCCAGAATTCCTTCAGAAGAACCCTACCCTAAACCCTAAGCCCTAAACCCTATACGGGGTAAAATCCGCCCTGAACCACACCAGAAAAGCCCTGACCCTGAAGCCCCGAAGCCGAAAACACCCTCAAACCCGGCCGGAAAACAATCCCAATCCCTACAACCACACAACCTCCCTGAAATAAGGACTAGGGTGACCCCAAAGAGGTGGGGAAACCACGCAGGCACAAACAAAAACTTTTAAACCCTTGAGCCACGTGTCACGTTGGTACACTTCTCGATGTACCTTAGTGTGTCATCCTTGCGCAGGGCGAGACAATGCCATGCGACCTGATTTGTGCGTGTCTTCTTACGCAGGGGCTTTGCTTGCAAGGCCCCTTGCCTCGCACTCCCCCTGCTGTCGAGACAGCACAGGCATAAGAGCAAAAACTCAGAGGCGCTTTGCATCTGAGCACCCTTGTTCAGGAGAAATCGGGGTAACTGAAGACCACCTAAACCCAAACCATATCCATGCTCCGATGCCCCTTTGGGGCCCAAGTGATCACTGAGTGATCCGTCCCTTGCGTCTGCTCTTCGCGAGGGGTATGCATCATTAGCACAATGCAGCAGGTCAAGCTCATGAATATGTAATGCAGAGTCGCATACTGTACCTCAGAAGCCTGTCCAAATTGATTGAAACATCATGATTGGAAAAGTGTTGTGTGCGAACCGAATAACCCATCATCCACTAACAGGTATAATCAGCCTTTAAACCACGACATCAGACTATAAACACGTTGCCCAATGCGCTGAGACGGAAAACCAGGTGTAGGACCAGATAGCCCAGTTTGGAAAACCATACTGCTTGAAATCATCTTGCGCTTGATTCCCGCAATCACCACCAACTGCGGATCATGCCACTTCGAAACACCGCCGAAACGACCTTGTGGACTGCGACCATGACGAAAACCAATACCAGAAGAAATCCGATATCCGCTCGATCAAACCATCGCGTTGTTGAAGACGTAGTCATCGAAGAAGTCGAAGAAGTTGCTTGCACCAGTTCGTAGCCTTGCAACATAGTAGCCACGAGGATGGCCACGGCGGCGGCCGCTGCACGTGCTGCATCAGAAACCAAATGTGTGGTAGGAGCAGTCGTCATCTGCCACATCTGCTTGAGGTTGACAAAGATTGCTCCGTTCATCAACTTGGTCAGCATATCAGCTAGCATGTGCTCACCTTTCAAGTGTGCCACCACCAGGTACCCACTGTTTAGCAAAGACCGCAAACCGGCTGCTCGGATTCGCAAGTGACGTGTTCGCCATGCACCAGCGACAAGTGAAATGATCGAGCATGCGGAAACGGAATCAATGTATAGCGCTTTGGAAAGGCCATCTTCATTGATCCCCAAAAGCATAGAAACGATAGGCGCGACAGATTGTAGCATAGTTGTTCCTTCCAGGGCAGCGTTGAGCTCAGCTTCCGCTGTGCTCAGTGCTATCGTGGTTTGGCGCTGCGTCATCCACATGACTGGGCTGTCGGCCCATACGACCACAGCTCCACTGTGTGATCTCGCCGTTTCTTCACCTTCACATCCCGCAGCAAACGATGCGTCCGTATAAGCTTCCAAGACTGTGACACTCCTTTTGAAACGAAGCTGTGAATCACCACCCAAAGACATAGGATCCACCTTCGAATACTTTAAGCCCAGTGTGACCGTCCTACTCAAGTAATGAAACACTTCATCTGCCTTTCTTGCAACAAAACGCGGATAGCGAGTACACCACACAGAAAGCTGGCTTGTGCAAAAAGCCAGATCTGCTCTGGACTTCAATGCCAGCCATAACAGCTCTCCTACGGCTGCCTGTGCTTTTCGTAGCGCCTCAACAGACACTTCCTCCGGCTCGTCAGGCGGCGCCTCCTTGCTCATTGGCCCAGCACCACCAATGCCGCCTGCATCTGCTTTAAACCCCCGTCGTTGCAACAGGTCCCTGACAAAGTCCTCCTGGTTCAAGTAGTACGCGCCATCATTCCAAAAGATTTGGATACCCAGAAACTTCAACGGTTTGTCGTCATGACCTCTTCCGCAGAACTCTGGTTCAGAAGTTTTCCATTCAGCGCGAATCTGTTGGATGGCATCTGTGATTATGGACATACTCCCGGCTAACAAAAAGTCGTCAACGTATAGTCCCAAAGTGCCTTTGACACTCTCTTTGCCGTCGGAGTCCGTCGCGATGAGCAGGTACAAGCTGGGATCAACCTCTGACTTTTTGAACCTCATGTCCAAACCATCCGTCTGCCAACGCATCTGTAAAAGCCTCGTGTCTCTCCACTCCACCCACGCAGCTGGGCTTTCCGCCAAGCCGTACAAAGCTTTTCGCACCACCCACCGCTCGGATGGCGAAGCAAGTCCAAGCTTCACCGCTGCTTTAGGCGGTTGCACAATGATTAGCCGACCCTGCCGCTGAACTTGGCTCATTGGTGCTGTCAGAAAAGCCTTGGATATATCTAGACCAGCTAGAAACCACTCTTCCTCCGCGGCTTGCCTCACTTGACACCTGAAGGTTGTAGAATCCAATCCTGGAGCGTATAGCCCTTGTCTGCGCAGCATCTTGGGACCTTGTTGTTGAACACTTGGGCTTCCTGATAAGAAGTTTCCACATGCACAAATTCTAGCTCGCCGTCGACCTGAACCTTGTTTACGTGTAAACACCACCAAGCTTGGAACATATTCAAGAACGGGTGCATCAGGAAGCTTCGCCATCTCCGCAAGTTGTTGCTCCGTAGTCCGTTCTACGACCTGCAGCTCCGTGATGAGATTGTTAACCTCATCTGACAATGCTTCTCTCCAATCCTCCAGCTCCTGCATGGCTGTTGTGGTAGGAATTGTGCGAGTTTGAAGAAACTCCTCATTGTCCCCAGCCTCCTGTGCAATCGTCTCTTGTTGCATCTTTAACAACGAACCTGCATGCTGCAAAGACTGCTCCAACTGTCGTTCGATTTCGCGAGAGTGTTGCAGCCACTCTGATGTAGCACTACCTTCAAACACCTCTGGCAACGACACTTCGGCAATCAAGTACTGCTCTTGATCCGCAATCAACCTTCTTAAGCTAGCATGTTGACTTCGAAGATGACCAATGTCTACATCCGATACAGAATTCTCGTCCCCCCCGACATCACCGAACGCGTTTTCAACGAACACTTTATCTTGGACCAAATGTTCTGTTTGACGACAATCCGACGAAGAAGATGCGCGCATTGGAAAGCCGATGTCCAAGAGAAAACTCCGATCCACATCACAAAGTTGATCACTTCCTCGAGGCGTGAATGCTGTGATAGTCCATCTGGTGCCGCTCCACGGTTGAGGGCCATGAGCCTGTTGGGGTGAAAATGAAAAGAACTGATTCTTAATGTCCACCGTCTTGCCCACGAGGCTACGATCACCGTACTTCCGCTCCACTGCAGATTGATCCTCCCTAGAGATACCATCATCTTGCACCCACAATTCTCCACCCGTAAACTCGCCAAGAGCACAGATGACATTGTTGCACGAGTAATCGTTGTGACGATCTCTATGGACTCCCACGGCAGTGTTACACGAAAGATAAACCGATGAGAATACCACATCTGGATTGTGTTCGCGAACAAAGCTCACCAAGTACTTGACGAACATGGGCCTATGTTTTGCAGCATTGGTCACGCCGCACATATGTCCACGAACATACTGTCCCAGAGTCACAGCTTGAATGCGATCCTCATTGCAGTGAATGTCGCCTCTCCGATTCGCACGAAAATCCAACCCCACAGACTCCAAAAGTTCCAAACACTCTTGTGGTGAAAACTTCTTCTGCTCCAACCACTCACGCGCTAACTCCTCACTTTTTGCGATGTCATCAGTGTAACAGGGTTTTGCAATGCACGCACGCGGACTGTCACCCGACGGGATTTCCACCTCCAAGTCTTCCTGCAAAACCTCGCAAGCAACTGGACCCTCCCCCCGGTTCGTGCAGCATAGTGAACGAAGCGACCCATCTGGTATGAAACGCCTCAACGCTGGAAGGACCTCAGCATCCGTCTCCCTCGGAACCCGCATGGTACGAGCCACCCCTTTGAAACGCATCCGATGCTTAGGAGGCGCTGGAAGTTCCTCAGTAAACTCGGCATCACACTCCGGAACCGACGACTTATGTTCCACCTTGTCATAGACCACCGTAGTTGGAAACATAACCAGCTTGTCAGGATCATCTTTAGCGCCCCTAGCTTCAACGATGTAGCCTCCAGAAACCTCTGTGCATGGACCTAACAGTAAAGCCGGCTGTGTCCGATCCAACCACTGACGCCCTTTCTTAGAACCACTCGGATCACGAAGTTCCCAAGCCCTTCGACGCACATGAACCCGAGCACCAAATGGAAGAATATCACGAGGCTTCAATCCCAGCTGTTGTTCAGCCCATCTCCATCGAAGAGCTGACCAATGAACAGCGGCACGTGCCCAATACGATGAATCCAGATTGGCCTGCTTTAGCAGTGCGCGGACGCCTTTTTTGAACACCCCAACCGTAGCTTCACTGCGACCGTTACTCTGTGGTGATCCGGGGTCCCCGGTAGTACGAAAAATCTGTCGAGCCTCACAGAATGTACGGAAAGACTGATTCACGAATTCACCGCCGCGGTCTGTATGAAGCCGCAGAACTGGATAACCTTGATGTTGAAGCTTGACCAAGATACGCTGTGTAGCGGCTAAAACTTCCGATCTGTGTTTGCTTTTGAGAGGTTCGGCAATCATGAAGTTAATCATGCGCACTGGTTTAGTGGCATGATCCTTCAAAGCACGCCAAGCCTCTTCTGACTCGATAACCTTTTTGACCTCAACCTCCGAAGCCTCCAAACGCTCGTCAGGAGTCACAATATCCCCGTCTTCAGGCTCTAAAGACACATCATCCGCACCATCACCTTCTTCATGCGCTCCCACCACATCGTCAGGAATAGGGAAACCCTCTTCAGTAGCCGGTTTATCCAACAAAGGAAACTGATACGTACCAATCAACACATGACGCTGCGTTTGATACAGATCTTTAGCCTCCTGCCAAGGACCACCCAAATCCAATGAAAGAGTATAAGCGCTGCCATACTTTTGTCGAAGGTGACGCCGATCTTTACCTGCAGCCCGAACGCAGACCTCACAGTCTTTACGGAAAGGTATGTGACCCCTCAAGCAATGATCTCGATACTCAGATTCCTCAGCTGTGAGTTTGGCCAGGTGTACCGCCCTCTCCTCAGAAACAGCTTGATGCTCCACGAAAGATGAGTGTGCCAACCACGCCCGCAAACATCGCTTGATCCGCGTTGTAAGCCCCGGAGCCCACAAGGACCACGACCTAGACATAGCCAACCGTTGACTAGCCTCCTCGGGTACTGACACCACCCATGGGACGCGCACATGAACCTGCTCTAGAGACTCCCACAACTGAAAATCGGAAGTAAGAACCGTCGTTGGCTTGACCATATAATGACCCAAAGCACCCTGATCACAATGTGCTGCAAGAAGGTTGTACCGAGTCCTGAAAGATCGCACCTCTGGCCATGCGAAAAATGTTGGAGAAGCTAGGCTGGGTTGACCTTCTTCTGCAACATCTTCCCTGCACATAACTGAACAACCAATCTGAGAAAACTTTTGCCCCACCAATTCTGGATCTTGCGGACTCTCCAATGCGAAAAACACACCAGCATGTACCGAAGAGGATTGCTCCAATGACAAAGCTTTTCGTGCCTGAACAGCTGTCTCAAACAGGAATAGCACCTTCAAAAACAGTAGGCCGTCTTTCTTAGCCAGTTCCTCACTTGAATAGCTGAGCCCATCCTTCCAGAAACGCCCCTCATCACACCTCCCTCGTAGCACTGGTGGTCCACCGTCCTCAACACCCCTGAACTGAGCCACAGTCTCACATGGCGGGCCACCTACCACTGCAACGACCTTGCCCTCAATTGCCAGCGAGAGGATGTACGTCCACACGGAAGAAGAATGAAGGTCAGTACGAAAATCCACTTCTAGAACTTCGCCACAACTACTTGGTAAGTGCAATCGCGGACCGCCTGAGTGCAGATGAACGATGACGCGTCTGGTTTTCTTTAATCGCCGTCTTTTGTGACGATTGTAAAGCAACTCCCCCACTCCCGAGGCAGGAAGAAGATCCACAAGCATCGATTCCGGGACATCAGGATAGTACCAACGCAACCAACGCCAGCATGCCTGAATAAAGTCATCTTGATTTCCACTACGCATAGCACCATGAAGACACTCACGTACTGAATGTTCCGTGTCTGCAGATGGACACCCTTGAAGCGCACGTACAGACTGCAACATGTGAGCAACCCCCTTTTGCTCCATTTCATCAATGATTCGTAGAGCAACCGCCTCAGCAATGCAAGGACAACCATTGACCGTCTCAACTTCCAGAGGGCCCAGTATTGGATGCGTAGCCGTACACTTTCCTTTGCGCCAACGAACCTGAAGACCAACCAATTCGCTAGCCTTGCCAATCGGAACCAAAGGATCCACCCGCTCGCTTGTAACTAGAGTACCACCATCCGTGAGCATCATTTCCTTCTTGCCCAAAGCCAAAGCCACAGTCACCCTTTTTGTTGGTAACGGCTCCCCCGGACGCAAGGATCTCAAAGGATGCGAAGCCCCAGAATCAAGCAAACCCACACCTTGTGTACGGTCATGGACCCCATCCACCCGAGCAACATTGAGAAAACCAGATACCACGTCCTCTTCAGATCCAGCGATAGCCTTAGAAGCAGCAGTTCCTTGCAGAAGGTCGTCAATTGAAGACCCTGACCCCCCCCTAGCTGCTGCATCCCCCAACGCCGTTTCCAAGTCCGCAATCATGTCTAAAGCCACCTGGCGATCGATCACAATGCGGCCATCAAGGACTTGGGCTTTCAAGTCACCCTTCTGAGGATGTACAACCGTGCACCGACCGTCAATCACATCAAAGTCCACATGAAGATGCGAATGAGCAAGATGAAAAGGAACTACAGGGCAAACAGTTTCACGAGTAACCAATGTTCCCACCGAATTGATAAGCATGTGCGCGCAACCAGTGGCCAATGCAACTTCAACAGAATCTGTTGGGACAGGTTCGCCTGCCCTCAGCGTCCGAATAGCATGAGAAGCGCAGGTATCCAACAACCCCAAATTCTGCCCCACAATGGCCTCATCCACCACAAGCTTTTTGGCTGAAACACCCCCGCTGTTTGCCCCAGACCCTTGCGACAACTTAAGCGACTTCAAGATGTCCAAAGCCTCTGCCATCACGCGTGAATTGTCAGATGCCGTCGAAGAAGAAGCAACATTACCCGCACCAGAACTACCAGTATGTATTGAAGCCTCCTCCGTTGCCGTAGCTGACTTAGCCGTGGCCTTCGCCTTCGCTTTTGCTTTTGCCGTTACCAGTTTATCCATTTGCTCTTTTGTAATCGGAGAATGCGAAAACTTGCACCGATCCCCAAACTGGCAAGACTTGTCCAAATGAAAGCCCCAACATGGAGACTTGCCCCCTGGTCCTGACTCAGATTCCCTCGACTTGCCTTTCCCCTTTCCAGGTTGATCCTGTGCTCCCGCTCCTGACGGCTCAGATGTTGTGGATGTTGATGTTGTAGCTGTCGTGGCGGCGCGAGCGGCTGCTTTCGCCTCAGCCCTCGCCTGAGCCTTTGCAAGCTTAGCCTTCTTTTTTGCATCACCATCATCATCACCAGTACTGTGTAGCAAGAGTTCCAATTCAGCTTGAAGAAAGATGGCTAACTCCCCAACCGTCAAGGATGTTGGTGAATAGTCTAGCCCTTTCCGCTCCCGAAAAGTCGCCACCCGAAATAAAATCGTTGGATGTTTCGAAAGCACTGCAGAAACCATTGTGTCAAGACCTTTCACTAAAAGTGTAGCATCCGGTTCAGCTGCATGTAGTTCTTTCAATCGCGACCTCCATTGCACCCACTGTCTGACTCCCTTGATCGCCTCCTGCACTGAAGTAGCCGAGGTAGGTGACACCAGATAATGCAACATTGTGCCTCTCTCATGGGCGCCGCCCGGTTGGTATACCGTAAGGAGTTTGAAGAGAATCTGGGAAGGGGACATCCGTCTTGTGGCTACAATATCTGTCTTTACAACTTCAGGAATCGCCTGGAGCAAGAGAATTGAAGCCCGTTGTTCCAATAAGATGTGCTGTGGCATGTGCGTACCATACATCTCTAACTCCGCCTGGATGCCAAGCCGCTCTAATGGTGACACCGAGAGCCACTTAGTGTACGCGCGCGAAGCTCGATCAAAGGTGTAGTCCCACCACACATGGCCCGAATCTGTCAAACTAGAAAGTGTAGGCTTGACAATCGCCAACCAATCACCCAAAGCTGTAGGATTTGATGCGCTGTATTCCGATAGAGTTGGCAACGACATGACATGTTTGCCCAGCACCTCTGGACGCTCCACGGTATGCCCCATCCCACTCGCCACCTGCGGAATAGAAGACGACGGACCTGGATGAGGAGAAGCAGCAGGAGTTAAAGCCACAGGAGAAATATCCAAAGTACCGTTGATCACCCGCCACTTGTAAGGAATCCCAGAAATCATGGTGACCCCAGCCGCTGCTTCACTGGATGTGTGATCCCGAGACACCGAAGTTGCAGGAGCAGGACGTCCGGGTGATTGACCAAAGGTTGGAGCATTGTCCGCAACCGAACCCCTAGCACCACTCCCACCCGAACCCCGAGAATCCTGAGAAGGGAAAAACGGCTGTACAGGATGCTTTTGGTTGGCACTACCACTCAGACTACCAACTACTTGCCCCAACGATTGCGACCCGGGGCCCTCAAAGACCTCTGGCCCGATTGAAGAGCTGGCGTTCCTGTGTGGCACATCCACCCTCGCTGCTGACGGTATCGCGCCACTCAGGATCCCCTGCCCCTCCACCGAGCTAGAGATCTTTGGTGGCACCATCAAACCAGGAGTAGATGCACCCACGACTTCATGAGCAGCTAGCGCGCGATCCCTTGCAAAGCTCCCCTCCTCTAACTCCGCCATGTTAAAGATCACCGCTCCAACTGGAATTCGATTCTCATCAACCCACTCCCACTCACCAGCGGCTGTGAAATTCCAAATGGTTCCCAATGCATCCCGATAATACTCCTTTCCTTCAAGAATAACCGCACTAGATTCCAAAGGTCTTTGCACATCCACGTCTGATGGAATGCTTGTCGTCGGAGCCTGCAAACCTGGAGGATGCTGTGGAACAAACTTGCCCAGCGACACTGTCTCTACAGACTTTCCAGAATGTATCGAGCCAAAACTTCTCTCTTCTACTCTCTGCATTCTCTCTGATAGTTGCGCTTGGAATTGCGCTTGGCTTTCCATCATAGTTTGCAACAGAGTTTCCAAGCGGCTCAAGCGTCCCAGTTCCGGTTGGTCTGGAATCAACTCTTCTTCTGTTTTATCTGGTTTAATCGTAGTTGATGAAGAAGGCGTGGCGGCTGGAAGACCGTCCACCGGCTGAACTTCCCTACTCCCGCGATCCAGGGCTGACGAAGGCAACGGTTGTGGAACTGTTGGGCGCCTAACGGGACCATAACTAACTGGATTACCTACTGGAACCGTTACCCCCGCATGCCCAGCAACGCTTGAGTCTTCCAAGGGTGGTAAAGTTGCAGGTCTCATCTGCCGAAGTTGGGATTCTGTCCGCGCTCGCTCACTCCAAAATGCATGTGGTGTGCTTACAGACTGCATCTCATGACTGCGAGCCACTGCGCTTGACTGCATCTCTTGATTGCGAGCAGTCACGCCTGACTGCATCTCATGACTGCGAGCGGTCACGCTTGACTGCATCTCATGACTGCGAGCGGTCACGCTTGACTGCATCTCATGACTGCGGGCCACTTCACGACCATCTAACAAAGCAGGAGCAGGCCCAGCAGAACGCGAACGACGCATAACAGGATCCATGGCTTAGCACAGGGGGAACCGCGTTTGGGCTCCTAACCTACGGGGTAAAATCCGCCCTGAACCACACCAGAAAAGCCCTGACCCTGAAGCCCCGAAGCCGAAAACACCCTCAAACCCGGCCGGAAAACAATCCCAATCCCTACAACCACACAACCTCCCTGAAATAAGGACTAGGGTGACCCCAAAGAGGTGGGGAAACCACGCAGGCACCAACAAAAACTTTTAAACCCTTGAGCCACGTGTCACGTTGGTACACTTCTCGATGTACCTTAGTGTGTCATCCTTGCGCAGGGCGAGACAATGCCATGCGACCTGATTTGTGCGTGTCTTCTTACGCAGGGGCTTTGCTTGCAAGGCCCCTTGCCTCGCACCCTAAACCCTAAACCTAGATCCCATAGAGAAGCCCGGGAGCCCGACGTAGGCCTGCTTCCATGGCGTGGGAGAGAATCACTTCGAGGCTCTTAGCTCTTCGAGGGCTTCTTTAGGGGCTTTCCCTAAGGGTCCATGTACCCAAATAGTATATACTTTGGCGCCAAAGTACCTATATAGGGATTACTTTCAGGCCAAAGTATATACTATATGGGTACATGGACCCTTAGGGATTTAGGTTTAAGGATTTAATTCAGGGGTTTAGGGTTCAGGGATGTACGGTTTAGGGATGTAGGGTTTAGGGATTTTGAGTTCAGGGATTTAGGATTTAGCTCTGAGCTCTTGAGGGCTTCTTTAGGGGCTAGATGGTTTAGGGGTTCTAGGTGTTCTAGGGTTTAGGGTTTAGGGACTTTTGGGGATGTCAGGGCTTCTTTAGGGGTTTAGGGCTTAAGGATTTAAGGGTTTCTTTAGGGGTTCAGGGTTTAGGGATCTACAGTTTATTGATTTATGGTGGCAGCCGCAAAGTTGGAAGATGCGCACCCAAAATTTCAGCACCCCACAATTGGAATAAAACACATCTTCCAAGTTTGGATTCTTCCAAGTTTGCAACCTTCCAACTTTTGATTACCGCATGAACCGCTCCAAATGCCGGGACCCAAAGTTGGAAGATGGGACCAAGTCACACCCAATATTTAATTGCAGCTTCTCCCGTGTCTCTCTCTCTCTCTCTCTCTTTCTCTCTACAATACTGCAGTAATTGCAGTTTTTCTCCCTCTGCAATACTTGAGCGGCCATGGTATTTGCAGCTTTTCTCTTTCTGCAATATTGGAGCGGTCGTAGTAATTGTGCAACACTGGAGTGGTCCTAGGAGTTGCAGTTTTCTCTCTCTGCAATATTGGAGTGGTCGTAGTACTTACAGTTTTTCTCTCTGTGCAATACTGGAGCGGTCGTCGTATTTGCAGCTTTTCTCTCTCTGCAATACTGGAGTGGTCGTAATACTTGCAGTTTCTTTTCTCTCTCTCTCTCTCTCTCTCTGCAATACTGGAACTGTCGTAGTATTTGCAGCTTTTCTCGCTCTGCGATACTGGAGCAGTCGTAGTACTTGCAGTTTCTCTCTCGCTGCAATATTGGAGTGGTCGTAGAAATTGCCCTTCCCTCTCTCAGCACTACTGGAGCGGTCGTAGTAATTGCGGTTTCTCTCTCTGCATTACTGGAGCTGCTTCCCACAAACCGAAAGTTGGAAGATACCGTTACCACATCAACCGGTCCAAACACCGGGACCTAAAGTTGGAAGATGGGACCAAGTCAAACCTAAAGTTGGAAGATGCCATTGCCGCATCAACCGTTCCAATTGCCGCCTTCCAACTTTCCGGCGGCTACTGTAGGGTTTAAGGATTGTGAGATTAGGGTTCAGAGTTTCGGGCTTCAGGGGTTTGGGGTTTAGGGCGTCGCCGTGTTTTGTTGTTTTGTGTTTTATCATCTTTGGTTTGCCTTGGCTGCTATCGACTATCGTTCCTACCAGTATCAGAGTACGTAACCTTCAACCTCTTTGCGGGTATGATATTCCCAGTACACCCCCAAAGGTTAACCTTTGGTTAGGCACCCAAAACCATAGGGAGGGATGGTCTTTTGGGACCTATTTCCATACTTGCAGTGTATCTAGCACCCTATTATTGTGGGATCCGCACTATAAGGACCCCATGATAAGGCACCCGTATTTCCGGAAACTCCCATACACGTACCCCCAAAGGTTAAGCTTTAGTTCCCTGGGCTACTGCACAGCGCAGCCTGGGGCCTCTGAGGTTTCTTTGCCTGAGTCGTTCTTTTCTTTGGCTTCTTGGGCTTCAGAGGTTTGGGGAGGGGGTCCTCCTTTGTTTCAAAGAAGGAGGGGGGTGTTCAAGGTTAAGGTGAGTGCGCGAGTGGTTTTGGATTCAGGGCTTCTGTTTAAGTTTAAGTTGTTGATTTCTGGTCAGTCCGTTTAGAGTTTCCGAATAGCGACTAGACCGAGCAGCTAAGTTGATGAATTTCGGATGATGGGGCTCAGCGGTTCGTTTTGTTTTCGGAGTTTTTTCCAGCTCTTGAGTTTCGGCGGTACTAGGATGCCCAGTGGTACCCTTATTCCCTTTTTGGTAGTCCTAGGTTCCTTATAAAGTTACCCAATACCAAAAAGAGAGGCCTTTTTTTTTCGTAGGTTACTGGGTATCCTAGGGTAAGTCTCAGGACGATGGGGCTGAAGGGTTGAACTTAGACCATCTCCCTGGCAAGCGAATCCTAGAAGACTCTCTTTACTACAGGGGCCTCAGCAGATACCCATACGATTTTGGGGTCCATATTATAGGTAGAGTATTATGGGCCCCAAAACCCTATTCTAATTATTAAGGCCCCTATATCATGGTGCGCTTATTGTGTCCCGTATAGTAACCTTTATATAGACCCCGTTTAAGGAACCCCATTCTGTTTTTTTTGAAGGCCCCTATGCTAACACTCCAAGAAACCATTCCCAGACCTTTTTGAGGTGGGTCACAGCACCTGCGCTGCGGTTTTCGATGACGACCCGGAGGTGGTTGGAGGACCCCGCAGTTTTTGTGTGTGAAAGGTTCCCGGTGCCGTTTGTTTACGATGACGCAGCTTTGGGGTTTGAATTTGCTGTTTCTTTTTTCTGGACTGTATAGGGGGGTTGGTAGGGTGTCAGAGAGCTTTTCTTAATGAAGCGGCAACTTGACAGTACAGGACAAGAGTTGAAGGCTTCCATTCAGAGTTGTGAGTTCCGGGATAATTGCCCAAAGGGTCTTAGGTACTGTTATGGGGACATCTTCCCGAAATCATAGTAGTAATTGCTAATATAGAAACCCTACATTCTACTATAGCGGTACTTTGGACCTTTGGGTTACAAGTCTAGGATTGTGGTTTAGGGCAGTGTGAGCTTCAATGATACCCGGCCAGCACGGCAATCCCTACATTGCTGTGGCCACTTCTGGCTGCGCTTCTTGCAGTCCGACAAGAGCCCTAAATACTGAGAGGGAGGGGAACTCAACTCATGCGTTCTAGTACACACTCGCTCTTCCAATCGTAAGGCATCGGATGCTGATAGTCCCTAAACCTAGAGTAAGAGGCAAGGGAGCTGACTCGTTCTAGCACACGCTGGCTCTTGCAATCATAAAGTGTCGGATGCCCGGGAGACATCCCCAAACCCAAACAAAGTTCTGCGAGACAGAGAGAGAGAGAGAGAGAGAGAGAGACAGAGCGCACGCGAATCGTAACGTAATCTGGGACCTTATTAAATAGTCTTCTGGTGCATTCCGGGCCAGATGCTCCCTGAAAGCATATGTTGATGATGCTGGGCTATATTTATTCCCTAACAGCCCTATAAAAAGCAGACTACAGAGGAGTAGAGCCTTCATATCATAGACCAGATAGGCCTCCGCAACCGCAGACCGAAGACCTTATTGGCCTAGTGTCCCGTGTCCCGACATGGGAGTTTCCGAAGATAGGGGTACCTTATTTTGGGGTCCTTATAATAAGGATCCTACTATATAGGGTACTATATCAGGGTCCCCTCTTTTCGGAAACTCCCACATGGTATTGAATTTGGCCCCAAGGTTACAAAAGGGAGTCAAGGGAGTGTGTTTAAGGCCTAAGTACATATGCTATAGTCGTCAAACAAGTGATAGCCTAATTTTAGCATAGATTAAGAGGACGGTCGTGGCCATAGCTCAGAGAACGACTTCGAATGCAGTAGCTACCTTCAAAGCATGTTCCACTACTGAAACCTTAAACGAAAAAGCCCTGCACAAACTTTGCACCTAAAAGCCCTACACTTGCAAAGTTGTGTAGCCACCAGGGCATATAGGGTTTCCAGAAGCGCGGCGTGAAAGGAACCACTGGCACCGGCTGCCACGTCGGCCGGGCTGCCCTGATTTGCTTCTGTGTCGACCGTTTCGATAGATTGAAGTTCCGCATCGTGGGCTTGCACAATCCGAATGCCTGAGGCCCCATGTGCCTGG